CCTCTAAATGCAATGGGACCTTTTAGGTAACATTAGCTACTACAGCGCACAACAGGAGCACCGGCAGGTTCCACGATGTACCCTGAATAGAACAACAGAAAGGTGTTGCCCTTTGACCTGTGCCCCTCTATCAATCCCACACTGTAGCGTTTGGCTCACAGATGCATTCCAGCAATACACATTTGGGTTGTATATTTGCATTCATCTGTGTATCCTAAACCTCTAATTCTTCTTAGAGCATAAATTCAAGGCACTTTTCTCTTAGCTTAAACTAAAACAAGTCCACCGCTCGAGAAAAAACCCTGAGCCCAGTTCATTTGTTTTGCCCGAGATATCTTTCAGTATTCATCATTTAGTATTTGCAGACATACATCCCTTCCCTGGGTCACGTTGGCCTCCTCCTCCCCATCAAGTAGCCCATTTCAGGCCCTGCTGATTAGGGGTCCTGGTAGCAAGGGGATTATCCCACTGGGTCAGACTGGACTCGGCTGGTGTCCACTGAGGAATGTGGGCGGGTCAAGCCGTCAGCCCATCAGCCAGCTAGTCAGCCAGTCATCAGTCCCCACATGAGACTACCGACCTTGTTTTTATCATTATCAATTCCTCTGGAGGAACTGTATGTTCCCCACTGCTCACTTCCCAGCTCACCCACACACACACATACAGGGAAGGTAACCGTCCTAGCTTGTTTTGTCTATATTTCAGCGACTTGGAGCCATTGGGGGAGTTTGCTATTTTCAAACGGAGAGGAGGCAAATGTAGAATTAGTCAAACTTAAACAACATTGGAAACAACAAAGCTGAGAAGGACATATAAAAAAGACTAAACACTGCTACCCAAACAACTAACCACACACACTGCCATACACGTTAACACACACACACACACACACACACACCGTCAAATGCTCACTGCTGGATATTACACGCAAACCTCTAACTACTTAACGATGTAGCTGAAGCACATGTGTGATGGGGGCCAAAATGGCAATTTATTTAAAAAAAAATGCTATTTCAAAAAGTAGATTCCATAATCTGGTTAATTTTCTGTACAGTATTCGTACCCTTTGCTCTTAAAACAACCGGCGTCTGCTGGTTGAGTTAACTTGAGGTAACTTGCAACCAGAGACAGCGAAAAAGAGGTACAAAAAGACACTAGGGGGGTCATTCATCTCCTCAGGGAGCCTCGGGGGAGATCATGCAGCCTTTTGTGTGTGTGCGTGCATGTGTGTGTGTGTGTGTGTTTTTCATCGGTCAATATGGGTCATGTGATCAACAACTGCTTCAGTCGCCAAACAACAGGCATTTAGCTCCTTGCTGTTTATCTAGTCTAATGCCACTAAACCATTGGACGCTTTCATGCCCAGGACAATTTCTTACAGTTACACATCATTGTACAATTCCTTTGGAGTAATATACACATGTTAGTATCATGTTGAATGTACTCTTATTTGTTTGTTTACCAATTTTAAATCACGCTGTATTCCATGCACAATGTTTAATGTCATGCAGCAATCAGTTTGTCAAATTCCTTGTATGTGGGGGGATAAAAGTCCCAAATCACGGCTCCTGTTCGGCTTGGAAAGGCTTGCGTTGAGAGCCGTGTGCTTTAGAGCGGCCCCCCCCGCGCCCGTACCTCGTCGCTTCAGGGGGTCGTGGACTAAGCACTTGCCGTGCCCTCTCTCCCCGCCGGGGAGGGACGGGCCCCCCTGCTGCCGGCGTGGCTATCGCGTTGCGTCGCTCTCATAAAAGGCGTCAGGGGTCAGCGGCGATGTCGGCAACCCACCCGACCAGTCTTGAAACGCGGACCAAGGAGGCTCGCCTCCACGTGGTGGTTCGTGGGCCCCAGAAGAGGCCTACCTCTGGTTTAAGGGCGAAATGGACATAACTGACATTGGCGAGCCCTACGTGCAGGGCCCTTGATCACCCTCGTGCCAACTGTGGTGTGAGTTGGTGGCTTGCTGCCTGAGCTTGCTGTTGCGGACGCTCAGGGTTACAGCAGCTCAAGTCGGATGTGGCACGTCGTAAGCCGGCTCTACTGGTTGTCACCGGGAAGTGGCGAGGAGAATAGCGACTACTAACCTGCCGCCTCCAGAGGTTTACGACTCGTCTCAGCAGCGAGAGCGGAGCCAACGGTGTGTGTTGGGGCGAACCTTGCTAGGAATTCGTCAGGACGCGAGGCTCCGAAAGAGCTGGTAAGGGATTGGCCTTTCTCGCACGGGGGAAGATTTCCCGAAGCATGGAGTTAATCCTGTCGCTGGGTGAATAGCGCACCCGGTCATGTCTAGAACTTTAATGGAGTTAAATCTGAAGAAGGAGAAGCAGCCAGGGTTTGAACAACCAACCAGCAGTGTCCAGTGAAGCCAACCTACTCTGTGAGCTATGGTCCAAGTACTGTTGGTTCTTGAGACATCAGAAGAAAGCATTTCCAACAATGAAGCCCGTCAGCGTCATCGGCAATCATTGAGCTGCCCCTTCAGTGCCACATCAAGAAAGCACCATACGGTGAACTAGAGCGTAAAAAGGTTGTGTTGCCGTTTGCTGGTGGAACGTGTCCATAAGAAGGACCCCTCCCCTGGAAGCCACAGCAGCTTCTTGTGCACCTGCAGCATGTGTCAGTGCCCAAAACACCAGCGGGGGCACCGCGTGAAATTTCCCACAAGCCATCGCCCCAGTCCTTCGAGTACGAGGACGAGAAACCACCTCCCTCCCCCAGTGGGGTACCGCCTCTCTCTCTTTCATCCGCCCCACTGTGGAAATGAGAAGGACAGAATCCTAAGTGATACTCCAGGTGGCCCACGTGACTCGTGGGAAGCCTGTGTGCAAGTATGCACGAGTGCCGTTAAAACGGACGTAGGAAATGCACACAGAAATAAGTAAGTAAGTATTAAAGTTGGAACAAAACAAACCTCCACATGAAATTTTGACCAAACCCCGTCCTATGTCCACAGTGGTTGTGTGCAGGAGAGGCCAGCTTTAGTGGATCCCAGTGGGATCACAGGGGGCACTGGTCAGACATACTTCGGTCATATGACATGACCTGTTTAATATAGAACAGCTCAATATCGGCCTCTTGAATTCCACTAGATTCTACTGATTCTAAAATTAAACTCATTAGCAAGATCAGCTGAGCAGGTGAGCCCATACCTCATTCATAAATTTGGTGTTTTATTGTAAAACCTTCTGTTCTAGTCATTGTCGTAGTTCGTCGATAGATATTTGCAGCAAGGCAGCTTGGGTTAAAATATCTGATGCAAATAAAACTGGTGTATTCCAGGGGTCCGTTTCAATTAAGAGGTTTAACAAACTCTGAGTCAAACCCTGAGTTGATTTACCCTGAGATGGGAAACTCAGACTTTTGGGTTTCAGAACAGCTGGAGTAGAGTTGGTTCCATCAACTCGGAGTAGGTTGACTCAGAGTTGAGCGCGTGCACCACCACAGTATGAAGGCAGCATGAATGGATCCATGATACGAGTTACCATGGCAACCAGCACAAACAATATATTCACCCCTATTGAACTGCAAATATTAATGCAAGCCTAAGATGAGTATGAACTCGAGTTAGAAAGAAAAGCAACATCGCTACTGCAGCAAAAGAATATGTTCCAATAGTGTTAATGTCAGTTAATATTTAATGTACACACAAATCATAACCCATATCTTTACTGTTTTTACACACATATTTAATCACAAGAATAATATCGCTGGTAAAAACTGGTGCAATGGTATTGAACCTGTAATGTATTTATTAAGGTGGAACTCTTTATTGGCTTCACTGGTTTGTGTCCAGGGAACAAAAAGGTTTAAAAGACGTTTCAAGGCGACGCACACGTTTCTCACGGCTCTGCATACAGCAGCTTTACTAATATTATAATGTTGTAAAGGAAACTTGCTCGTATGTGAGAGCACGTCCACGATGGGGGACATTAGTTATATGAGGACGGGTGAGCTTATGTACATATTTGATAGACGGTGTTATCTGGAAAAGACAATATATCTAATCGGGGCCTCGATATTCTCTCTAAAACAGCTTCTTCATTAACAGGATTGTCCAGAAAAGGACATGACATGTTCTAGAAAACACTTTAACGTAACATCTTATTTTGTTCATATGTGGAAACTGCGCTTAAATCCGCCTGATATAGAGTAATGAATGAATGAGGAAATGAAAGCCGCTGTGTGATTGGCTGGGCTGCTGTCAGAGGGAGGAGCCTGTGAAAGAAAAAAACCTGCTACCGACCAGGTGATGTTTCCAGGCTCAGTTACCATGGTGACTGATCCTGAGCTTTACTTACCTCCCTTTGTGAAACAGACAAGCCAGAGTTTCCCTCATCTCAGGCTTAACAAACTTTAGTTTTCACTAAATTGAATATTGTATTTGTCTAAAACGAGATACATGTTCCATTTTCCACAAGGGACTTGGACAAATTGCCTAGTTTCCGCTTAATTTGGCCACGTTTGTGAAAATAATTGTTTCAAAAAAAGTTATCAGTGTTATTGTTTCAGATCTCCCTAAATTTAGTTTGAGTTTGCGAACACTTCAGCAACAACTGTGTGAATGTTCTCCTCAAACCATTCCAGGGACTTGATGCTGGCAAAGCAGCGCTTAGCCTTTCCAAACGATTAGGTCATATAATAATCAGCTTAAGGGAGAGAGATGCTGTCAGAAGCCAGTAAAGCCACCTCCTCTTAACTCAACAGCTTTAAATCAGGCTCTGATCCCCTCGTCTTCCTCTTCATCCCATTTCTCAATGAATCGGTTCTCCACACATCTGAATGGAGCGTGTTTAGATGGTGACCTCAGAAGATGCAGTTATTACAACACAAAAGCCCAATAAAACGGCATTAGTAAATAGCAAACATCAACTTTACATCTCAAAAGAGACTCAATGTGATGAACTGCAGCCCTTAAATACAGTTCACATTGCAAAGTGGGCATTCCAGCAACAGTGTGCTGGTAGCAGGTTGAGCGGAGAAAGAACACGCACTCGCATGCAACACTCATTCAAATGTGGCTTATTGATTTATTTATTCTTACTGTCGAGAGGCATACATTACAGTGCAAACCATTCTTTGGCAAACGTACAATACACATGTCATGATAGGTACTATTATATCCACATTGTAGGTAAGGCGTGTTCAGTCTTGCAGTGCATTGCATTAACACTTGGGGAGGTTTTTGGGGGTGGAAATAAAAAGAAACAAAAAAAATGTAATTAATTCAAGATATATGAATATGAAGACTAGTAACTTAGAGAGCGCACAGTGCTTTGACAGGGGAACCTTGGGACTCTGGCCAAAATGCATAAAGCCTGCAAATAAGAAAGACACTTATTCATACACAATGTTGATGGAAATATATGAAAATATATTTATTCCATTGAGACGTCCACACCGTGGCACACCAAGACGTGTACATGTAGGCGCTGCTGGAAGAGCCACATTCAGGAAGTAATGCTTAAAGGGATGTAAACACAGTTTGAGGCACAAACCGGTGCAGTTTGTTTAAACATTTGATATGATACCAATTGACAAGTACAACATCCAACATTCTGGAGAGTATTTCCTCTGTTTGGTTACAGCTGCTCGCTTCTTAAAGAAAACAATGGAAGGGAAGACTGTGGCTGCAGCCTCTTCACCATAACCAGGAGCCAAACAGGAACAGAGTTCAGGGCCGGCTGACGGGGGCCAGTACATCTCACATTGGCACCACCAGAGACTAGTTTTGACACTGTATCCCAACCATGAGCGGCCCTCTCCCCCCCACGCCTCCCCTCTCATATGGCTTCCATTACAGCGGAATGAGGGTCAGCGTCGGCGGACCGCGCTCCACCCAAGCCACCCGAACGACGTCACCCCAGGAAGCACACTTAATTTCCCCCCACATGGAAACCTGAGCGGGACCAGCATTCAACTATTTCAACACCGCGCGGGGAAATATCCAAGCGCTGAACACAGGAGGAAAAAAAAAAAAAAAAACTGCTGACGTGGGAGAAGGCGGAGGCGGAGTGGATGCTGGACAAAGGAAGGCGTGCGAGCGTGTCCTCGTCTCAGCAGGAACAGGACAGCTGCAGTGTGGTCGCAGTCCTTCAGTCGCGTGTAGTCGGGGGACTGGAGACTATACATGGAAAAGAACGGCTACGTCCTAACCTCATCTCAACATTCAGACGTAGTTTCACAGATACACACTTTAGAAAGATCCACATCATACATTTGGCTTTAGGAGGCCGAGGAAAATACTGGGTCAAAGTTCACAACATTACAGTGGTAAAAAAATGGAGCATCTTTCACTGCTTTCAAAATGAAACTTGGAAAGGAGCACAACAGTGCAAGAGGTGGTGTGAGTGTCCCCGCGTCTCCACTTCACTCAAGTTCAGGACAGGCCAGCAGAGTCCACCAACAAGTTGTCCATGGAAAGAGGAGCAGTGATCAGTAGACACGTCTTTTGCATTTAGAACATGTTCCTAGGGCTTCACATTATCTTCATATGTAAGCGTTTTGTGTAAAAAGGAGCGGGGAAAAAACAAATGCATGACTTGATAAAAAGCACCATGAGTAAAAGATGAAGTAAATCTAATTATAAAAAGTTTAGTTTGAAGGAAACCATCCTCTCAATTGTGATCATAAAAAGGCATATACTGAGCGTTTATAGGTTGTTTTGCGTACAAAAGACAATACCTAAAGTTTGTATTTAGTGATTAAAATCATGAATAAAAAGGGGGGGAAATAGCACCAGTTTTTGGCATCTCTAACCTGAGAAACTTATTGAGACAATCTACTTCCCTTCCCTGCTGGTCGACGGCATGTGGCCCTGCGTTTCGTCACTACGTGTTACGGGCGGGTTACACCTCAGGAGCCCCGGGGGCCTCCGGGGGCCCCCGGCGAGGAGAAGACCTCTGTCCATCGGTGGTTAACAATCCTCCTGCCTGCCCATGGGTTCAGAACATCATCCGTTTAATGATCACTGGCCACAATATAAACCGCGCCTAAGGCCACTGTCCCTGGTGCAACGACCACCCAAAAAATGAAATGGCCTCCCCTCCCCCCTTAACGAAGAAGAATACAAAATGAAACAAAACAAAAACAGGCGATTGGTGGCTGTGGATCGACACACCTTCATGAGTCCCATCTGATCTCTGGGTTTATCTGGGTGTGACTTTCAGCCACTGCAGTATGTTGGTCAGGTGTGGGAGGGCGGGAGGTCCTGAGGATTATTCGTGGGGGGGGTCCACTTGAGGCGGCTTGGTGGCCAGTTGGTGGCACACCGGGCAGCAGGAGCCTTTTAGCTTGACGGGCCGTTTGCACTCAGCTGGTGGACAAGACTCCACAAAGCATGTCATCTGGGTGTCCTGGGGGGGCAGAGAGGGCATCAGGTCACTTCACTTATTACATTAGACCGGATGGAATGTTTGTGATCTTGGCCGGCTGAGATACAAACAGAGCCGCGCTATAGCAAGTCGTCTGTCGGAATAAGAAATAGCATCACGCGTTCACGATGTGAACGTAGCACAGCCGCGGACTTAGCACAGCCGCGGACTTAGCACAGCCGCGAACATAGTTAGCGCTGCTGGGTTCGGCACAGAAAGTGCTCAATGACAAAAATGAGGCGAGCAATGGCGGCTTTGTTTCAGAGCAGCAGCACATTGTGTCGAAACAAAGGATTCTCTCCCAGATATTGTCATCGTGCTTCTGCCTACCAGGATTGCAAGGTGGAAGAGGAAAGTTTGAAAGACGCTATGGGGAAAGAGAGGACTATATAAATGCAGAGCGGGGTGTGTGCTGCATATGGATCGCTATGAACGTACTCTGCAGTCACAGATGGTGCAGGAGTCCTGCTTCCAGCGCTCTCCGTCCTTGCGCTCACGTCCCTCACTGTCGGTGCAGTCGGTCTTGCTCAGACGGGTCTCGAGTCTTTTGATCTGCAAAGACAGAAGCATTTACTCCGAGGAGCAGTGGTCCGTGCTCACATCCACCCTGTCACGTGACTCTCGCCGTGTCAACACATTCTTATCAAACTGGCGTCACATACTCATCTACAACACGATCCTTATTATAAACACAACAAGCAAGCGCCTTCTAAAAACAGCCTTTTACTACAGACCCATCTACTCATACAAGCAATAGGGACAGCAACATGACACATGCTAAATACAGGTAGCGTTAGTTGTAATTAAATGTGTCCCTGCTCGCGTGCTGTTCTAGAAACAACGATTGGTTGAGGGGAGGCATTGACCTCGAGTAGTTCGGGGTCGGACAGGCAGCGGCTCAGGGCCTAGGACCTGAACAGATCAGTGGATTGGACCTTGGGGACCATTGATGCCCGTCCTACAGCTTCAATGATAGGTGGTGGAGCCTATGACATAAGCACGAGTGTAACTTGGTAACACGCTCTCATGTGCACTGGATTTACTCCCTTTACTTCGACTCTAAAAGATGCTATTAAGTGTACTGCTGACATGATAATGAACAACATCTGTGTGTTTGGGCTGCAGTACAGTGAGACCCACCTGCTTTCGTAAACTTGTGATTGTCTTCTGCATGTCAGACACAAAGTCCTGGAAGTCGTTGATTGACGGTTCAGCGGTTTCTTTGGAGGTCTCAGTAACGTTTACAATTCTTGGTCCGGCTTTCTCCAGTGAGCTACGAAAGCAAACGTACAAACATCTGGATTAATGAAGTTCATGGGACACAAGCTTTGGACTCAGAGTGACACACTGTTGTTGGGAGAGTGGTTGTGGATGTTTGCGTTGCTGTGTTACCTCGTCTGCTCTTTGTAGCTGTGCTCAGCGGACCTGCGTCCTCTGAAGTGGTACGACAGAGCGTTGAACTGACCCTTGGTTCTGCAGTCTGATGGCATTTAGCACAACGCATCGTGGTTCATTAATGGATTCTTTGATTCTGCAGAAGACTAACGTGTCCATCAGCCATACGTTATGTTGTAAAACGTTGGTGTTTTAAATAAAGTTATATTATTTGCAAAAACAAAGGCCACCTATGCAGGGAAACAAAAGGTTAATGAATCCCATTTCTGCACATACAGCCACCTACTCACGTACAAGCACGCCATACATACACAGAACTTTCTCTCCGCTTCAACGTGCTGATGTGAGACTTTGGGGGCTGGTTGTATCACCATGACTCACTCCTCACTGCAGCGAGATCAAAGGGAAGGAAAGAGCCGCCCACTGTCACAGAACCCCAGCACACACCTGGGTAGACGGCGTAGAGCCACGAGACGCTCCACTGCAAAGGGGGGACGGGCGAATGGCTTCGGGTACCTAAGCCGCTCGGCCTGTGACGGCCTTTCATTTACCACATCAGTCTGTAAGAAACGAGGACTCTCACAACAGGACGTCCCGTTTCCTGCTGAGGGAGCCGAACATAGCGAGTGTGTTAACTTCCTCCCTCGTGTGTCTGCCAGAAGATTCTGTCCATGAGCTCCGCTCTTCCCTGGTACATTCTTTAGAGGGCGGGTGAACGTCTGGGTCAGGATAACCAAGAATTAAGAAGCCCCATATGTCGCTTATTAAGAGGTTATTGTTTGTTTTAAATCCTTTAATACGGTGGCTCGTTCTGCTGAGACAATGAATACATGAAGCTGTGTTTTGAGTTGAGGAGTAAAACTAAAGTGTCTACGTTGCACAGAACTCATCCATCCCAAATACAATCTGAATAAAACACGTCTTACAGAAGGAATCAAAAGACATAAATGCACCTCCATTTACCACCCTGAAGACACTGGAGCACTTTGTGAACATGAAAAACCAATTCAATGAATCGTGGATCTAAATGGCTGAGGAGAAGAAAAAAAGAATTTCAATAAGTTTGCTCAGTAATTAACGATCATTGTTTGGCTTTCAGTCCCAATTATCTGTTCTAATATCGGCCGCTTGCTTTTTTAACAACAGCTCACACCTTCAAATACATGGTACAAACAAGCCGACTCCTTAGACCGTAGCTGGTTTAGAATAATGGCGAGGGAGGGGGTTCTTTCATCTCTGTTTCACTGTCCGCTGTATAAACATTCGTCTCTGCAGTGTTTGGAAATTAGAGCATTGGCGTTGTCATCTGATTCAGTGTAGTGGGAATCCAGCAGAGCAGCTTTTAAATTCAAACTTTGACACTCATTTCACAACAAAACAATGTTCTTTTCTCTCAGAGAAATGATCCCACACGCACCTCCTTATCAGGGGCTGAAGCAACCAACACGCTAGTGACACTGACGTGAGCCGCACACAGGGAATGAACTCTCTGCTGCGCTTAATGACAGCATGAGCACGTGAGGCCGGACCGCCTTAAGAAAGATGTTATCAAAAGCAAACCAAGAGTCACATCATGTGACTTCACGAACAAAGGCACAAGAGCCTCACAGTCAGTCACACTGATGAAAGGTGTGAGAGGTCATGGTTTTCAGGAGTCATTTCACACCACCTGTCATTCATATTTTAGATCATTTGTGTACATCGATACTGCCTTGAGAGAAGTTTAAACTTAATGTCAATGTGCATTAGCTTTGTTATGGACGCCTTTCCATTCTATTAAAAACTAATACACCGTAAATGAGACAACATTAGTAAGAGGTAGCATGTGTTGTCCTCTACTTGGTGGAAAACAGCGGTTTTATCCCTGAATCGTTCAGTCCGCATAACCGACTGTACTGGAGCCCAGAATTTAACGATTAGATTCGGTCCTGGTGGAATGCATGTGTGCATGTTGACATGTAGCCCCAAGCAATAGAATAGAAATGAAATGTACCAGTAAATCCCATCTTTGTCAAACGGATGGCGAGCCTGTCTGAGGTCATATTCAGTGAATGTGTCTCACCTTCACAGCAGTCCTGCCACATGCGCAGGTCAATGTGAGGGATGTCGTCACAGCTCCCGTAGCCGTGGGGAAGCTCGGCCACCCTAAAAACGTCCTGCTGGACGCGTGTGATGTTGTCCCCGTTGTCGCACAGCACCCGCGTCAGAGAAGCCTGCTTCAGCTGTGTCAGCTGGGCGGGAGAGAATACGCCTGGGTTTTCATACCAGAACCTGAAGCGGCCAGACAGGAGGAGAAGCGCAATGGGATGTTTTCCACCTCTCACACATGAGTCTCTACTCGGAGCGCTCTGATACACTGACTTCAGCCCCCCAACAGTACCTGTCTCCCTCCTGCAGCCGTTTAAACTGGGTTGCCAGCAGACACATGAGGGTGGGCCCCACTCTGCTGCCGGGGACCAAGTCTTCAGCCATCAGAGCGGGGAACAGGTCGATGTTCATAGGACTGCCATACAACCTGCCACACAGGAAAGATAGTCAGGCCCACTAAACCAGGCCAATATATACTGCAATCAGAGGTATTATGGTGGAGGACAAGCTTCCATCAGTCAAACCACAACAAGAACTGTGTAAAGTAACTGGATACGAGGCTGTCCAGGCAAAGCAAAGTATAAAAATAAGAACGAGCATCTCGAGGGCGTAATCACCTCTGCAGCTTCTCTCTGACGTTAGGATTCTTAATTTCGTTCCTCAGGTCGTCGAAGGTCTGAGCCGAGGTCAGGTTGCAGAAGACCCTGTAATCATTGTACGGTGGTATACCGTGGTCCCTTCCCCTCTGTATGTTCATGGCAGCCAGATCCAGAGCCACAGCGTGTGCCATGGAGAAAAGCCTCTCAGTCAGCTCCGTATTCAGCAGCTGCGTGGTGACCCGCATTTTGCCGGCGACACCAAAGAGCCCGCGAAGCAGCGGGTCGATGCCGCCCTCGTTCACGATGCGGAACGGGGAGAAGAAGGCCCGGTGCAGGGAGATGTGTCCCTGGGGGATGGGCTGGAAGTCCTCGTCCAACCTGTAGAGTATCGGGTTGATGAGGGTGTGCCCGAAGCGGAACGCAGCCGTGGCGAAAGCGTTGAGGATGCCGGTGTTGACATTGGGGTTGTAACCGGTGTATGGGCCGATCAGCTTCATGCCGGCCTCCCCCAGGATCTAGGAGACGGGAAAGAGAGCACCACATTACATCTTAACCCGTAATACTTTGGTTGTAATCTTAAATAACAAGCAAAATAAACAAAACAACGGTAAAAACAACACACAAGGGAATCGCAACAGAGAGGCGCTAGAATTAAGATGACCGTTTCTACCTTTGGCAACCAGTGCTTGTAGGTGATGTGCTGCATCTGGGCCCCCACGATCTTTCTGGCCTCGTGGTAGATGGTGTCCCCGTCCCAGTGGGGGTTGAGTCTCAGTAACTCTGTAGCTACCCGGTTGTGTTCTCTGAACCACACGGTGTGCATGGCGGTCAGACCCAGCTGCTCGTTGGCGCGGTGATCGCCAGCTAAGAAGCAAGGGATTGGACTCTCGTTTTCATCTCTCATGCACTCAGTGGGAGGTCCGGCAGCAAAGGGCAGAAGAGGCTTGCCCGTCCGCTGGATGATGCCTTGGCGCAGCAGACCCCTTTGGCTGGCCAAATCTCGAATTTCCTCAGATTCGTGGCGCGAGCTGCCGTAGACATTTGAAGCATCGATGTAAGAGGTCAGGTGGTTGATCTGCTCTCTGGGGTACACGCTGTTCATCAGGAGAGAGGTCATCCCGCTGCCGCACACGGGGCTGGACCGGACAAAGAACATGCAGCGGGCGCCACTCCTCAGCTGCTTGGGGTCATTGGCCGGGAACTGGATCGGGAAGCATGGCGGGTCATTGGTGCATACCTGAGTGCACAGCTGACCGTCGGAGAACCGCGATTGGCTGAGGGCCGCCACTGTCAAGTCCATGTCATGGTCCAGGAACTGGCCCCACTGCATCAGCATGTGGGTGTAGCGGTCGTCAGGAGTGATGGTCTCCGTTCCAATCATGGCGGTCGACACCAACCTCGGCAGCGGCAGCCTGTATCCGTTGTGCTGCTGCTCGGTGGCCCCCCTCGGGAGGTTGAAGCCATTGTCGTAGACCGACTTCAGGAGTCGCTCGAAGGCCGTGAGCGAGGCGCCCCACATGGGGTGCTGCAGGTTGTTGCAGGTGCCGTCGTGGCTGCGGTACTTCTGGTGGAAGCAGATGTCGGAGCAGTTGTTGAAGCGACGGTGGGCCGTGCAGCCCGAAAGGTTGGCGATCACGTCCAGAAAGTGAGGGGACACCAGGTCGTTGTAGCGGAATGCTGCGGAAAGAGGCAGATCTCATTAGCAGAGGCTGGAGGTCAACAGCCAAGCTTTCCATTGGGATACACCCGAACATATTATTCACATACATCCTTTTTTATGGCAGAGTTACAAGCACCTTGTGCCCCCGAGGGCACAGGCTGCATATAGTGTGTCGCTCACTTGCCCCGACTCGCTTCCATACGCGAGACCTCCTCTGTGAGCGCTCCAGTCTGCAGCATATCAAAGTGTGTGGGGGTCTGAGGTGTGTTATGGCACTCGGACAACTGTCAAGTGTGTGCGGCCAAAGGGTTGGCTGAGACCTTCCTGTGTGGGGTAAGGGTAAAAGAGACCAGCGCTTTGCACAGCTTGTTGGTGTATGGTGGTCTTATGGTGTGTGAATGCAGAGTGTGGGTGTAGAAATTCAACATACGCCACATGCTTGTTTCTGCTGACGGGGAGAAGAGTCTCTGGGAGCTCGGCTCGGGGACGGTGCAACAATGAACACTTAGTTGTTGGCATAAGTAACGCAAACACCGCCTGACTCTCCCTTTGTTCGCATTACACACGGCTCATTTCTTTTTCCCTGCCTCTTTTTTTTCCTCGGACTAACTCGACGAGCTGGAACTCGTTAACACATCATGGGCGCACTTATTTTTCTTTATATATACGTATTTGTTACACCGAAGCTGTCCAAAGCCCCACATCTGACACGCTCTCCCCCAAAACCCTGTGTAGCACAACCGGCTGCATTTAACCGCCCATCACAATGAATACTTTCCCTGCCGTCTGCCATGCAGACCTGAATGCAAACATCAACATCTTGTGTGAACACACATACACACAAGAAAACAGGAAGGCAGAGATCTGTACACCAGCAAACACCTTCTCAAAAAGGGTCCTATGCTCAGCGGTGTTGGGTGGGGTGTGACATGGCTCATAGAACTCCAATAGGTCTCTGCGCCGTTGTCCCGCTGCAGAGGGAATGGCAGACGGAGGGAGGGCCTGGATGTACTCACAAAAACACGGCAATCCATAGAGAGGTCAAGAACGGAATTACTGGCTCATGAGACTTGACTTGAATCCAGACAGACTTTAGCAGGATGTTGATTGTGTCATTTCCATCTGTCACTAAAATTTGTTAATACAAATATTAATACTACCAATAAAAAACTATTAAGTCAGTGATTACGCATCATTGACGTAAAGTTTAGTGATTTTCCCCCCAGGATAAAGTCAGCACGGGGCAGTCCTTCCTCCGAGCCATCGCACTGATTACTGGCAACTAGAGCCGCCAATAGAAAACAAACAAACTCATTTTGAAATTCATTAATCTCGAATGGTGATTAATGAATATTGTTGATTTTTTAATAAGTTTGTTTTTCTTCTAAAGACTAAATAATGAGTAATCACTTTAGAAAGTGTGTATTTTAGACACTATTGTTTAATTGTCAATGTTATTTTAAACGCAAAACCACACACATTTGATCATCTTGGAGGCAGAATTCAGGTGGAACATGTTAAACTATCTCCCCACATTTAGCAGGACGTTTTCAAACACGCTCTTTTAGGGACGCAGACTGTGTGCCGCGCAGGGTGACCTTAGATGTTGGGATGGAAGTAGCTTATCAGCTAGCTTAGCCTAGCAGCTAGCTTAGCCTAGCAGTGCTTTAAGTGGTCCGTTGTTTGTTTGACACGTGGAGTAGTTCCTCTGCACAGCTCTCTGCTGTATGTCGCGCCTGTTTTACTTTACTTCCAATGCAGGTTAAACAAACTGTTGCCACTATACAGCTCATGCTTTGTAGTTTATTTTGTGTAGATAAGATAACCTCTGATTCTTATCATCACCGGCATTCACAAACAAAGTTATTCTGAAGAGAAAAGTAAAGTAAAAGAAGCGTCCACCTACAAGACAATGTTTCAGGTAAAATAAGCACATTGTGTTGGAACTGGGTTTATGTTCACCAGCAGCGTCTCCTGGGCCTCGCTCCATGAATCTTCACACAGAGTGGATGGATTTTATCAGTCCTGGTGTACATACACATTTTACACAGCCAACCAGTCTTATTAAAATCATAGTTGGAGCCTTGTTTGTACACGTGGTGACTCGGTTACAGTAAAGGTACAAAAGGCACAGTCTTTCACATGTGGTTGTCAGACCCACCGGTGCCGTTGGTGTCGACGGTGAGACCCTGGTTCACGTGGTTCTGGATGAGCAGAAGAGTCTGCTCAAAGATCTCCCCGGCACGGGCCTGCTCCACCGTGTAGGGGTCACGTGGATACCGGAAGAGTGCCAGCAGCTCTCCTGGCGTACGAGGCTGACTGCAGGGATTAGAGCCGGAGACGGTGTTAGGCAGAGAACCAACCACCATGAACAGGACAGCTAGAGAACTTTCAACCTCAGGTCATATTATCTGGGATGAACCAGGACATGTCTTTCAAACAGAGACTTCACCTGGTTGTGACATAACGTTGAAACATGAACCATTTTTACATCTTAATGTGCTAAATAGCTAAGTAGCGTTTTATGTGATTACTGGTACAGCAGCAACACAAACTGTGTAAATTTGTGTGTATACAAAGTAAATGTATTCAAAAAAATGTTCTGTTAAGTTTGAAGTGTTTCCATTCTGTGGTGCGTTTTCTTTTCCTTCCTTTTCTCTTCCTCACAGGAAGTCGGCAGCACTAACAGGGGTGTCAACAGCTGTCAGTCACACTGATTAAAATTGCGTTTACATTGTTGTTGTTTTTCGCCGTGGGAAAATGGCTGCCTAATCATATTTGATCATCTGGAAAAGCTGGCGTCACAGATGCAATTTGTTTCCACAATGAACAGCTGCTGTCGTCAAAAAAAGCCGAGGTTTGGCTATTTGACAATTGATCAGATCAACACGTGCTGGAAACATTTCTCATTTTGAGCGATCAGCCGAGGAGGAGGCTGCCTTGTTATCTGCGACCGCCATTCAACAGAGCGGGAAATCCCTTCATCTCCAGCGAGGTTTCATGTGTACGCTGCTCCTCTCCATGCGTGGCTTCGTGTATGCGTGTTTGTGAACGCATGTGTGGGCAGAGTGCATTCGTGAGCATGCCAAGAACAACACAGCTGCTAACCACATAACTCAACAGGAAGGAGACACTCAGGAGCTACATCAAAAGCACGTACAGTACGTCTGCAACCCCGGGTCCATGCAAAACAGAACCAAGAAAGACCTAATACTCATTTTATCATCCCCAAAATGCCTACGCTGACGTACAGAAGAAGAGGAGATAAGGATTGCTTGGCAAGCAGTTATGTAGTGACTGAAGCTGTGGGAACCACTGTGTGACTGAATGTCTGTCCCCAAGGGAACGTTTTTAAACGGAACATTCTGATCGCCATCTTTAGAGCTGCAAACTCCTAAAACAGGAAATAGCTCAATATAAGCACATTTTCTCCCAGAAGGCCCTGAGTCAGGCTTCAAACATGCAGTTCATGTGCCCAGATGATGTGAGACATTTCTGGTCCAACTGGAGCCCCAGGAGGAGCATGTAGCTCAGGACTGAGACTGCACAGCCAAAAATAAAAAGCATCAATTACAAACTATAGTTGAAGAGTGCTGCACGCTCGGCTACAATCTATGACAAAGATGCATTTAGTTTTAAAGATATGTGACCTGTGCAAATATAGAACAAATAAAAATACATTCAATTCAAAGCACCACAAGATTCTCTCCTGTGCAGACATTGTACAGGAAGAGAAACAGGACAATACAAATCAAAATCTGAAACCATGCAGTCTGCACCAAAAATGATATATATATATATTAATAATGATGACTAGGTGTTCGGTTGTGTACCACAACGTTGGATATATCGGACAGCAGGTGAAGAGATCAGCGTGCCGAGTCTGTTCTTACAGTAGAGCCGTGCAGTACTTTGCAAATGAAGCATTAGGTGGAGAAACGTGTGCTATGAAATGTGAAAATTAACATAACTCGAAGTTATATTTGACCTGATTCCTGAATGACTTTAAATATGGTGGTCTGATTATGCTGACACATAATTAATGGATTACTGATTCAATCACTTCAGGGAGTGTAAAGAGTCACTTACCCATCGAAGAGGCGTCTCCGCGTCGACTCAATGGCGCTGTCCACATTGCGGATGGCCTGCTCGATGGACGTGCTCACAAAGGGGTCGCCCTCCCTGCTGACTGCAGGGACTGTTGGCCCACGGACACAGACAGGTCGATTAGAAATAATAAATCAAGCATGTTGATCTTAAGGAGCATATACAGATTAGCTCAACACAACCTTTTCTTTTCCACTTTTGTGCGCGAGTCCTTTTCACATTACATTGCTTATTTAAAGGTTCTCTATTCGACATTCATATCACAGAGTAACCAGTGTTGATACAGAGCAGTAGTGAAGTGCGTTCTTGTCAGTGGTTCTCAGGGCTTTGTCGTCATATATCTGACCATCAGCTAGCTAATGACCACCACTCTGCCCTGTCATACGGCGGTTACAGCGGATAATGCCATCCTGACCGATGGAGTAAACAATGCCATTGTGGCTCAGTGGGAAAGCGGATCGTCCATGTTGCTGTGTCCTTAGACCTCTAATCCCAGTTTGCTCCCACAGCCTACAGTGTGTGAGTGGGTATAAATGCTGGGCAATCCGCATGGGCAGGTTGCACCTGGTGCGGTAGCTTCTGTGTACGAATGATGGCATCGTGTTTGGGAGCTTTGAGTGCTCGGAGAAACAAGCACAGTCGATTCACAAGGAAATACAGTGACTGAAGCTGCTATGGGACGCCACTTCCCCTTTGCGTGCCATCGAACGCGGAGAGATGCAACGTGACGACCAAGAAAGTAGGACAACTGAGAACCACAGTGCTGTGGTCTGACCTGAGAAATCTAAGCAGGAAACACAACACAGCTGACAAACTGCTTCCCAACATTGTGCCTCCAGTAGTTCCTTCCCCAGGAATCAGAGCATTTACTTACTATTATATGACTACAAAAAACAATCACAAATGTGACCAGATTGGCTGCAGCTACACACTAGCTCGCTTGTTAATGTCGCCCCAGCGTGCTCCTGCTACGGGCGGCGTGCAGACAGACAGCACCGTGTTTACCTGTGACAGTGAGCACCATGCCGGCGACCTGATAGCCGATGGGATTGCGAGCGACACACTCGTAGCGTCCGCCGTCAGCAGTGCCCACGTCCTTTACCTCTAGATAACCCTCGGGACTTATGTGGAACTTCCCACTCTCAGTCACCTGCACACCGTCCTGGGGGAGCGAGGGTAGAGGTCATGACCTTGGGAGATGTCCGTGGGACCCGTTTTGTTTTTGGGTGGAAACTGGAACTGACTCAGCATGTTAATCACAGTTACTTTACTGTCATTATTTGCCTGAACTAATATAATGGCAGATTACCCAGAGACAAGTCCCTTTATTCCTCCCCTGTTCTCATTCAACCACTGCGGCGGTGCGCTGAGGAGCTCTATTGTCTAACCTTGTTCCAGGTGAGGACAGGTTGTGGCTGGCCCTGAGCGCTGCAGGGAATCTGGACATCCTGGCCAGACTCCACCGTCAGGTCCCTTGGAGCATTTGTGAAAACAGGCGTTACTGAATGAGTTAAAACATACACACACATATGCATGTGTTAATGATTATGCGACAGTGTTCAAAGTACTGTACATGTATCAACTGCATCATGTGGTCCATCATAGCAGACATGAAAGCATAAAAAGCACATTTTTGCTCTAGTGTCACACACACACACACACACACACGCGCGCGCGATTTTCTTTCCTTTATGACAGAGCAGCAAAACGTGAAAAAAAACACATCTAACAGTCTTTGTGGAGTTCAAAAGGACGATGAAGGCAGACTGTTTGTGGAAAAGGAAATAGTGCATTGCTTCATGTGGTAGGAACTAGGGCAATGGCTCATACGTTTTGCTATTGAACGTATTGTGTGAGCAGCATCTATCAATTGGTTTTAAATAATGAACTTTACCACAAAAGGAGGTAGATATTTTCCATCCTGCCCACACATAAACAGTGTTGGCCATTATTACAGAGTCATTGTGTTATACTGTCTAACATTCATGACACAACCCTTCCACAGCTGAGGTGTTTGGTGGGAGAGGGGGATATTTGCTCCCACCCCCCACACACATGGTTCAAATTCCTTCATGTTCCCATGTAGTTCCCAGCAGTGGGCCACCTGGCCATGGGAAAATCCCACTAGTTTTTGAAACACGTAGTCTGACGGTAATTAACTGCCCTTAAATCAAAGTGGCACTTTCTAAAACGCAGGGTTCACTGCAGTGTACAATACACAACGCCAACGCTGCAGGCAACGTGGAAGAGGCGTGTGCTGTAACCAACACAGGTAACATCATCCAGTGGGACACTGGAATGTATCTTATGCACTGCTTTCACTTATACTTTCACTGCACTTATATACAAATACTCCGTCTATTTCTCTGCACAGCGCTGGAAGAACAATGCAGCCGTCACACAGCGGCGGCATGGATGTGAGCTCATACAGCGCTCTGGCAGAGTGGGGCGATTATGCAACGTATACTTTGTGTCGTGTTAACAGCCATTACTACATGGAAAAACATGGTGTCATCACAGGATTACAGACGGACATGTTTTCCTGTGCTATGTCAAGCCTTTCATTTCAGCTGTGTGCACGCACGCACGCACGCGCGCACGCACGCACGCGCGCGCGCACGCACGCACGCACGCACGCACGCACACGCACACGCACACGCACACGCACACGCACACGCACACACCGAGAGACAAACATTAACCTCGTAAAAACAAATTAAAAACACAAGCACATGCTGAATAATTACATGTACTTTGCAAATACATTCTATAAAGGAGGAAAAGTTGCAGTGATTTATCTTGCTATCTAAATGAGCCCTGTTTAATAGAAGATTTGCATGTGATATGCTGTGTCTGGAGAGTCCTCCACCGCTCTAACAGTCTTCAAACTCAACCACCCACCACTCCCCTCCATGCAGTGTTTGATGAGGACCAAATATTTGACCCTTGTCTTACAGGACTTTTCCATATTAACCCCTGCAGCAGCTGAGCGTGATCCTCGCCTAGCTGTGACCTGAAGGATCACGTGGTCAGTTTGAGACTGCACCCTACACCCTCACCTCTCTGCTGGATGCTGAGCTGCACGGCGGAGCGCACAGTCCCCAGGGGGCTGACCGCCTGGCACTCGTACTGGCCCTCGTCGTGGGCCGCCACGCGAGTGATGCGGAGAGTGCCGGAGGCCAGGACCACATGCCGGCGGTCTAGGGGTAACGGACTGCCCCCACGGGTCCAAGCAATCACCGGCTGGGGGGAACCACTAGCCTCACAGGGAAAGTCCACCGTGTGACCCTCCAGGACTGACTGGTCCTGTGGACTGACAGTGAGCTGGGGGATCGCTTTGGGCAAAGGAGAAAATAGCAGTTCAGTTAATTTAATTTACATGACACATTATAGAGCTGTTACACAACTGTTGGGAGGAGTCGCTTAGAAAAAACATGACTGCTAATGTGAGCAACCTCGTGGTTCATATTTAGAATAGCAGGCAAAATCACTGTGTCCAGTGTCACCAGATTTTTTCATCTTGTTTCATGAACAAAGATACTCTGTGTCTAATGAGTCAGCATTTCCAGTTTATCCAAAATACAAAGTACAAGATCAGAAACAGAAGAGAATGTGACACGCAGACTATATTAACTCAAAATGCCCAAGTCTACCTGACAGAGTAAAGGGAGGTCTGATAGCTACCTTGTACAATGATATACGCTGTAGCGTGTATGGTATCAACATTGTTGGAGGCAAAACAGGTGTAATGTCCCCCATCCGTCAGGTCCACGTTCTGGATATAAAGCCCTCCGGAGGGGGTGGTGTTGATGCGGGCGTCGTTGGGAAGGGGTGTGCGGTCCCCCTTGGTCCAGGTCACCCGGGGCTGTGGTTGGCCCGTGGCGCTGCACTCCAGGGTCACGCTCTCTCCCACCAGCACCTCAGTGTTCTGGGGCTGGATCACAAAACTTGGCCGTGCTGGAGGAGGAGGAGGGGGATGGACATGGGAATGGGCTTAGGGGAATCGACAGTTTTCATTTGGGTTTCTGGTATCAATGACCTCCGGGAGGCAATGGTGATGAAAAAAAGGGTTTTAAGAAGACACTAAAACGAGCTGCAGCGCGTCTGCAAGGTCCGTTCATACACAAAGATCTGTCAACAACGGCACTTTGCTGCGGCTACAGCGACCGCTTACGATCACAAAACATGGCGGAGTCCCATCCATGTTTGGCCACTGATTACAGTGGAGTCAGAGGAAATATGTACACAGCTAGAACAGTAATCAAAGACAGGAAATGTACAACATCAGAGCTCCCAGGGCTGGTTATTCGACCTGATGAACTCTGAGGAGAACCCCTGTGCTACTCAGCAGACATCTAGAGAGATAGCACGTCACAAACATCAATGATCAAATGAAGTAGATGTTAAGATGCATTGGACACATTCTGTGGAGAAAGGTTTGTTTTTACCAGTGTTATGTGAGTCTGATGGAAGTTCATTTGTCGGGACATTGACATCATTGAGATTTCTGCATGACGTGCTGCACGATGCAGCTTTAGCAGTTAATAGGCTGCCTGTGGAGCGCAGAGGTGGAGATTGAAAGCAGACACTTACAGGGGGCTCCAAAGTATCGCAGCGTGACCTGTGAAGTCTTGACTTCGCCAGCCACATTTTTGGCCATGCACTGGTAGACTCCCTGGTCCGTCTCCCTGGTGTTCTGAATCATCAGCGTCCCGTCCTCCAGCAGGTTCAGCCGACTGTCATCGCGCATGTTCAGAGCATTGCTGGCAGGGGCCACAGAGAGGCACATCAACACCAATTAAAGAGAATTCAGTTTCTCTTTACAGAATTCCAAATTTGTATTGGCACAATCACAACATTTCTAAAATGAAAAAAGCATAACCAGAACTTGGTTATTTTTGTTCAATTTGTTTCAAATGGCAATAATCTATATGACTTAAAGAGATTAACCAAATCAAACTAGCTGAATAAAGACGGTTGTCTACAATTACCGCATCACAGTTGTATGTCAACCGGTGTTATTTAGCATACACCTTGGTTTATGACCTAAAGTGTGTTTGCTGAGGTCCCAGTTAGCTTTTGACCAGACTGCCAGCCAGTTCATCCTCAAGCCTGACACATCCGTTCACAAGAACAAAAAACATCAAAACAGTGAGAGGAAAGAGTCTTTGATTTGTGTCCTACTTGTTCCTGAGCCAGATGATCTGTGGTTTGGGGTTGCCTTCAGCCCTGCAGGTGAAGTAGACAGTGTTGCCAGATGTCACATCGACATCCTGGGGCTGTGAGGTGATCCTCGGTACCTCTGGAGGAACAGCAGATGGGACAATGGGAGGGTGATTGTAGACAGCTTTAAATTCATGTCCATTCATTTTGGATGTGCCAATATTGTCCAAGTGTGAAGGCGGTCCCCATGTGGAGACGAGGTTTAGACAAAAAGGAGACTCCCCTCTGGCTACTGACTGTCAGTTCCTCGCCCTGAGATGTAAAACGGTCTAACTCCAACCTGCTCAGCAGATGGGCTTCAATCTGTGTATACCAATATTTAAAACAAACCCAAACTCATACAGGGTCCATACACATTTTGACTAATGGATAGCCATGACTTTGAATCAAATTTCCATCAATACTCTACTACTACTACTCTAATACTACTTCCATACTCCGGCTTCCTCCCACAGTCCAAAGACATGCTCTGGGGATCAGGCGGATTGGTGACGTAGGTGTGTGGATGTGAGTGTGAATAGTTGTGTGTCTCTGTGTAGCCCTGTGATTGGCTGGCGACCAGTCCAGGGTGAACCCCGTCTCTCAAGTTGGCTGGGATGGACTCCAGCCCCCGCGACCCTGTGTGCAGGATAAGCAGTTTGAAGGACGGATGGATGGATGGATGACCTACTTTCTGCCCGTCCCGCGTCTTTCTCAATACCCGTAACCCATGACGTGCACCCTTCCATTTGTAGCCAACCACGGTTACGTGGACACTTCCCTGGTATAGTGGACTTTTCAATTAAGGTGGCGCAATTGTAGCTGGACTTTCTTTGCTAGTTGCAGTTAACCTGTAGCATCGATGCAGTTAAACCTAAAAATAGTATTCTGCATGGCATTCTATTCTTTTTTCAGGCTGTTTTTATACATAACTATATACAATATAATTTCCAACGAAAATTCATCTTGGCATCACAAGAACAGCCAAACATCCCACACAACATTACAACCACACAGCCTTCATATGATGAGCTAGAAGGACATACATATTTGTAACCAGGGTTTGAAAATATGTTACTGTTCATATGTGAATGTTGTCACATTTCCCCTGTGTAAACAGAAAAGGAGTTAGTCTTTTCCTTAATATTCAATTTCTGTTACTCCGTGGGCAGAGATTTATTTAAGGGATAATCTGTCTCTTGATAGACTATGTTGGTTTTTTCCATGGACTGTTTCGGTAAAGTAGGAGTGAGCAGAAAAGATACAATGAATAAAAGTTAATAACTTTAAATTAACTTTTCAAGTGTGTGCCATTGAACAGCTGCATTTTTGTAAAAGAAGATAAAAATATTGAATATTGAATATTTGACATGCTGGCTGTTATTTATGGGATACACGGTGCCGTCCATCCACCGCTCTGTCTGCCAACACTCACCACACGTCATACAATTTCATTATTTACCAATCTCCTCATTGAACCTGGATTGAGTTTGAATATTCCCCTATAAACTGTCTCTAAGCAAAGCTTCCCTTTCCCAATAAACGTTGGGACTAGAATTTGAGACAGAGCAGCAATGCAAAGGTCGTCTCAGCTCCGTATCGGTTGATGATTTCCTTTTTAATTTCAACATCAACAAGATTCAGGGCCAATGAGGTTAGGACTTTCCTTCCCCTCTACAGATTGGGATACAATACAGTGGGAGTCTTTAGTAATATTTGAGCCAGTTAGATAAAGAATTATTCAATCAGCCTAAATTATTCCCTCCAGACGTAATAAATGGATCCAAGCTGATCTGATCTATGCCGGCATGGTTCCAATACATACATGCACACAACTAGTAATGCATTTAATTACCCTCACGCTATTGCTATGTGTTGTACCCCCTTTGTGGAGATGACCAAACTGATTAAGAAAGAATGTGTATGCCTCATTACACTATTCCACCCATGTACGTGTGCATACAGATCATACATGACTCAGCAGCTGCAGGGGGGCTGAGACCAGAGAGGCTGAAGGAGGCCCTCAATGACTTCTACCCAGACTAGAGACACATGTGGTGCACACAGCTGGTCGCCTGCAGACCTCAGACACAAAGGGAGGATACACCTGTGTCAGACAGGGTGAATATGCATTCCTGCTATTTGATATGTGACGGTGGGGGGTCTGTAGGTTTTGTGAGTAGAGCGTGTATTGGATTAGAAACATGGAAACCACATGCATGCCACTTTAAGTGGTGCCTAGTTGATGCTGTAATGTATGTTGCAGCACATTTAGGTTGTTCGGTGAGACCTGATGGCAATACACTGCAACAGCTGATTAGAAGGTGTAAATCATATTTGATGAAACCTTTGAAGCGATGAAGAGCCTGTTGTAAATATGTTTGCAATCCCTTTGGTCACATCCTGGAATTGTCATGCTTAGTGGGAGGTGTGGTAATGTTGTCTATACCACAGTTGAGCTCCTCTGCGGTGAGCGTCGCCACCGATCGGCCCTGCAGGCGGCTCGGGTAGTCACAGGTGGCAGCAGCCTGAGCGTTGCCCGACTCGGCGTACTGCTTCAGCAGGTCGGCCAGCCACAGCAGCTCACAGTCACAGTTTAACGCGTTGGAATCCAGCCGCCTGAACACACAGAGACACGCAAACACATAGCGGGTGAGAAATGGACACGTAGCTGTGCGTGTATGGGCATCGTGTAACTAGTCTGGCATAGCCAGCCACAGCTCAGTCCAAACATGGGGCTCAGCAGAGCTGCTGCCGGGGGGTATTACCTCCCTGCTTGGCCTCCCCCTCTCGTAACGGACACAGCCGTCTACCACAAGTGTGAACAAATTAGATTTTTAGTGACCAGGGTCTGATTGATTATATACGTATATACAGGTATATCTGCCATGACTAAACTGCAGCTTTCTTAGTCGTTTTAAGCTCTAATCTGACACATTCAAGTAATTTGTGCAAACACAGGAGGGTGGAAACAGTGGTCAAACTGCTGATTATCTTCCCTGCCGTTTGGCTGGAGCAGGTTGGGGTTTAAAGCTGTGTTAAAGATTGTCGGCCTCGTGTTGCAGCCTCAACTTAAGCATATTATGTGCAGCCGTGGAAGCACGAGAACCGCGTAGTGTGGTTACATGTGACGGACAACGGACCCCAGTTGATAACTGGCATAATGGGAGCGAGATACAGGAATGGATGAGACATACAGTGGAACAAAGCTGCTTCAGTGGTTGGTTGGTGAGATTCCCACTTACAGTCGCTTCATGGCCTGAAGATGAGAGAAGGTTCCTGGGACCAGCTGGGAGATTCTGTTGTTGTGCAAAAACCTGAATAAAGAGAGAAACGTGAGCTAATTTATCACAATATCCTTTACATTACATTACATGTCAGTTAGCTGACGCTTTTATCCAAAGCAACTTACAATAAGTGCATCCAACCATAAGGATACAAACTCAGAAGTACAAGAAAGTGCAATTTCCTCAAATAAGCCAATTTACAATTTGCTATAGATGAGTGGCGTTATTTGTTAGTCTTTTAGTGGAGGTAGAGCCTGAAGATGTGAAGGCTCTCTGCTGCTGCTGCTGCTCTCATTTTCATAATAGATAGATAGCTGGACTGAAAGAGCACACAAAGACTACATTCAGCACTTTTCAGAAACAACATCTTTGAAAATAATTGACCAAACCATTAATAGTCAAACACATTGAGGATAAACCCCTTTGCCATATCATATGTCACTTTCCAAATGGGACATAAAGATGATGATTTTCCCAGACATGCTATCATGGCTTAACCTTCTGGCCCTGGAGGCTCGTATTACACATCACAATATGTTCCTGTTTATGTAAGGCTCTGCCCAAAACATTCCCCCCAAACTATTGAACCACAAGTGTGTAGGATTTAGGGCGACCTACTGGCAGTAAAATATTCATGACTACTTTAAAACCGTGTATGGTCACCAGGATGAGTCCTTAAAATCTACAATGGAGATATATATATATATATATATATATATATATATATATATCTTCTTGAAGGATGTGATATCACTCAGTCCCACTGGTTTCTTTCTCTTCCTCTGACTCATTTTTGGAAGCAGGACAATAAGCAAAGCCAACACACTCCCAGCGTAGGTCTGCGTTATCTGTTGAACAAATCAACTACTGAGGGAAAGGAGCACTGGCATCACTAGCTTAGCATGATGGGAACTGAAGGGACCACTCTTAGAATCAGTACGGGGTCGTCACATGCTTTTTTCCTGCTATGTGGGAGCTGCGTACAGCACATTTTATAGGAATCTCAACTTACAGTCGTTCCAGCTTTGGAAGGTGAGTGAATGATTGTGGTTCCAGAGACTCGATGTTGTTGAAGTGCAGGTACCTGGAAGAGAATGAGATGTAGAGTAAGCACAGTAAATCTGCATAAGGGCTACCAGCCAGTGTAAAATAGAAGTGCATCGTCCTAGTGAGGAGCAGACGGGGGGGGTGTTAATGCCAACATCAAGGAGTCCTCCAGTGCACCCTGTTCCGCCTGTGCATCTTCATACTACTGAAGAGAACTAGCTCCGGCTAAAAGCAGCCAGACGGGAGGAATTTGTACATCAGGCGTTGAGTAGTCGATAAACACGGTCTGACAATCAATCTCTGGCTGAAGGTAGAAAGGTGGCCCACGGGGAAAGAGCAAGCGTGATGATTATCTCATGGAATGCAAACAGAGTTTATGCCCCCAAATGCCCTTGAGCAAAAATATAATCCAACTGGTGGCCAAAGCAGTGTTTCCCTACTCTGGGGGCAGTGGAGGGAGAAGGGGGGGTATTCTCCTCACACGGACATATTGGCCACATATTTATGTTAGTGTGGAGCTGCCGTGCATGGAAAAAAAAAAAAATTAAATCTGGGTATGTACTTGTCTTGACAGGAAAAGCAACAGTCAAAGCAGCTGCAAAGGGAAAACTAACAAAGACAAAAAGCAGCACAAAACAAACAGAAAATGAAAATGCAGTATTCCTCGAGATAAATACAAAATCCATCAACATGTTGATTCCCACAGTCCAAAGGGATGCAGCTTAGGCTCGCTTGGACTCTAAATGGTTTCCTTCAGCAGGATAAGCCGTTAAAGGTAATAGAAGGACACAATTCCTATGCTCCCTATGAACCCCATTAGCCTGCTGACAACATCAACAGATCGGTGGTGGTGGGTCATATAGGAACGAGTGTGTTTCCCCTCTCAAAGGAGCTTCAGGCTGCTGCAGCCCAGTGGGGATGTAGAGGAGCTAATAAAGTACAGAACTTGTCAACAACACTACAAAACAGATGCCAGTTTTGGGGCTTATCTGGACTGGTAATCAAATTCACCCGACTTTCTAGCGGGAGGTCGGAAAGGCTGTTTGGGGGGGGGGGGGGGGGGGTGGCAGGGGACTCCCCTAATATAATAATCCACATGCCAAAAAGATCATTTCTGCATACAGTGGTCACACAAGTTCTGGGACAGATCAAACAAGCAAGCAGCTATAATTGATCACACAGACTCAACATCCATGAGAGCTTTCTGAGAAATAAACACAAGAGGAGTGTCTGCAGCAGGAGGAAAGACCGGAGACGTGGGCCAGGCTTTGCTAACACTACCAGGAGCACCCGGCTGGACAACATGCTTTGAGCTTTGCATCGGGTGGCAAACGTCCTGCCCACAACACATGCAAAGGGGTCAAAGAGGGTCAACGTGGCATACAAAGGTGGGTGCACACAAGGCATGCACGGTGGTGGTGGAAAAGAGGGTAGAGGTGCTTGGACTAACAGAGCGTTATGATACCGGTGTAAGGCCTACACAGTCCTATCATTCAGCATTCAAAAACAGACCACAACAAATGCTCTCTGACACGAGAGAACCTTTGAAGGAAACTGCATTGCTAGGCAACCACTTGGGTCTGTAGTTACGGTCAAAGGTTACTTCCTGTCACTGATAATTCACACTGCAACAGGAAATAAACTGGGGTTCATCTGGAATGTTGTTTGTCGTTTAAAGGGCCTACAGACCATGTCAAAGTTGTAAACATAAACATTGTGCAAACTCGTACTTTTATAAACTGTAAAAGGGTCTATAAATCAAATGTGACCATGTAGACCTCACCAGGCTTCCTGGATTGCATAAAACAGACGGAGAAGGAACAGCAGGGGGGCGGAGGAGCAGTTGGTCGAGCAGAAGGATAAGGTGGACAAGGAAGATGGTCACTTACAGTTGCTCAAGAGAGACAAGCCCCTTAAATGCTTGTCTGTCAATTGATTGGATTTCATTCTTGTACAAATAGCTGGAAGGAGAGATAATCAGTAACATTAGTAACACATACACACTCACAAAAGATCATCTGACTTCTACCTGGTTATTATGAGCGAAAGTAGAGGATCTGAGCAGATAACTATGGTTTAGAAGCGGTTTTAAAATGAAATGAATGCTGCTACTTGTACAGTGTCTTTACTGAAGACGTTCATCTATCCAGTGAGGATCATACTAATCATTCATTGATATTTGGCAGAAGTAGCAGTGGGTTGGAAACTATTTGGACCAGTTTTCCATTACAATGTGTTTGACAAAACTAAAAAAGGAATATTTAAGAGATTATTGTGTTTAGTGCAACAAGGTCAACATGGGGAAAAACAAAACTATTCAACACTCATTAAGACTTTTAACAGAAAAGGAAATGACTTTCTACATCACTCATGGAATGCATTACATTCAATTAATGACTCAAGTACATAAACATTACAAAATAAATTATTAGATATTTGCACATCTCAAGAAAACCTTGTGCATCAGATGAAAATCAATAGAATAACAAGAAGTATGACATCACAGATTCCATGTGCGTCTAGTCTTTTCTCCTCTGGAATTGAAGCAGCAAGCAGCCCATATTTTAGCACATACACATGTGCATGTTTTCCCTCCGTCATGCATGTTACAGAAATGTGAAACTAGAACAGCGATGGCTTAAAGCTGTTCATCCTTTCATCCGCCTTCTCTCTATTTCACTCTGCAGCGTTCCACCCATGATGTGACATGACGAGACGTACAGATCTCCTCACAGCAATGGATGGAAAAATAAACATCCTCTCTATATCCCTGAAGGCCCTTCCGAGTGCAATAACCTCGCTGTGAAGGATTAGGGTCAGGTTGCTTACGAGGGCTAATGAAAGGTTTATGCCAAAATAAAATACTTTATCAGATGTAAAATGATACATTGTCCAAATATATTGAGCTAAAAGTCCCTATCATTCACAGAGAAAGGACACTGCCTCCATAGATGCTAGGACCAAACCTCACCAATCAGCATCAGGGTAATGAGTCACACCGGGTGACACCGGAGTGACCAAACGTATTGTTGTGACACCATGTAAACGGTTACTGATTTAGCTTTTAACTGCAGGAGCAGTGAATGAAGGTGAAACACAGCGGACTGCATCCTTGTGTGCATGAGAGAGACTCAGATCGCAACAGAACTCACTTTAATAAGCAGGTCTCCTCTCTCATCAAATATACAGTACAGAATACAATCAAGCATCTATATTAACGTTCACTAAAAGAAGCTCCATGTGCAAAGCGAGGTAGGATGCAGTATGTACCGAAGCATGAATACACTAACTGGGGCCAAGTACAGAGCACTGATGGATGTGATGAGACTGAAGAATTAGAGAAAGATCAAATAAACAGCGGCGGGTTCCCACAAAGAGGAGCGTTGACCTCCGGTTGACCTGTTGGTGGAGGTGGTCGTGGGAGAGAGAGCGCCTGCATAGACGTTAGGTTTGGAGGACGACAAAGATGACAGGGTGGACTTTGGTGGGCTCCAAAGTTAGTGAGGAGGGAGATACAATCTGGCCCCCAGCTACAGACCACTGGCTCGTTGGGAAGGGAAAAGACTGGGACGAGAACTTACCCTAATCACAAAGGCTTTAGATCTACTCTGCTTCTAAGTGAGAGGGGCACTGTCATTAAAGTAGTTGCTAAATAGCCACAGGACTTTATTACCGCACAAAGAGAGAATGTGTGTCACTGTGTGAGCTCAGAGAGAAGCCAAAAGGAGAGCCCCCTCTTCTCTCTCTCTTTAAGCTGATATAATCTTGTCTCAAGTGCTTATCCCAAATATTAGTTGGGCAGCATCAAATATGCCTTCTCTATTTCCAAGTGCTTTATGTAGGTCCTCATATCCACTGGAGCACGGAGTGTGCTCTCAGCACAACTCAGGCCAATGGAACGATAACGCAAGAGTAACGAAGGCAGCCAACTAGCAATCCCACAGAAACCTCAGCTACCTGTTCTCTACTCGCTTCAGGTCTAGTGTTGCACGGTGTACCGGTACTAGAAAGGTATCGGGAAACCGTGAGAGTTGGCAGCCCTGTAGCTTTGTTGGCTTGCTTGACAACACCTTTCCTAACACAGTCAAACATCAAGCAACACAAGACAAAGCAAGATCCCAAATAAGTTCCTGAATAGTCCAGCAGAAATATATACATGCACAATAACCTACAATTTCACTCATGTGGGCCGATATGATCATGAGGTCAGAATGCACACAAAATTGTACCAAATAATACACACTTGATGCAATAGGCTACATGCTGGTGGAGCCTGAGGGTGGATCTTCACCTAATCTTTTTTATTTTTAGTTAAGGAAATATGAAAGTGAGAATATGAAACTATGCAAGTAAATAAAGCATTGTTCATCCCACAGACAGTCAAACGGATACCAGGTTAAAAAAAAGGAACCTTACATATGTTTTATTTATTACTATCATAGATAAATATATTCCATTATCCTACTTGTGGTATCGTAAGTATCGGGTAGCGTAATATTTTGGCAGGTATAGTATCGTAGTCATAATTTTGGTATCGTGACAACCCTATTCAGGTCTACACTCCCCGACACACAAGTACCAAGGAACAGAGCAGGGGAGACTTAAGCAGTGTAAACAGCTGCCTTCCACACTTTTGCTGCACCAAAAGCGAAGCGAAATATTTGCCCGAGTAGATTCCATGCAAAGTCAACAGATGCGAATGGTTGCGGATGAAGCAAATTTAACGGGCGGCATAATTTGCCCAACGCCGACTCGTGAGAGCCAATCAGCGTTGAGTTGCTGCCAAAAGCCTGAATATACTTTATGTAACAGCCAGAGACGACGGATGACGTCATGAGCCCAAACACAACTGCGTTTGCGGTTCTGACGTTTGTGTAATTTCCACAACAAATAAAGAGCAGAAATAGTGGTTATTTCCATGGTGGATGGCAGAAATGATAACTGTCTTTATGGAGAAGAGCCGCGACAGCAGGCGAATTAACTACAACTAGTCAGGTGAGTTAACTCGCGCGAGTAAATTCCCTTTGCTTCATCTTCTGTTGACTCAACTCCTTTCACATTGACCTTTTGACTCCAAATCGGACAGAACAAAACGCTGCCACATGGCTTCAAAATGTATCACTTGACCGCAAGTGCAAAAGCAAACTGGCATGAGGGCAACTTACAGGTATTTGAGGTTTTCCAGGTCTTCAAACGCCCCCCTGGGGATCCTTTGTACATGATTGTTGTTGAGGAGGCTGTGGAGGAGAAAACTGAGGTTATTTTGGAGTTACGTTTGTTCTGGCCTGCTTTCAAGACAAGATGCAGAGCAACGTAATTCACAGATTAATGATTTAAATGGGAGTTCCTAATGGTAAGAGGTCACTTGTCAGCTCTTTTTGTGCAGGGATGAATGACAAATATATTATGTAGGGCTGCGACAATAAATAGCCGACATCGAGGAAAGAGCAGCCAGCAGCGCCGGCAGTTGTTGTCAGTTTTGTTATTGTTCAGTCAGAAAGCATGAAGAGGATATAAAGCCCTCAACAGGCTCGAAAGGGACTTTTCTTCACCTTGAAACTGAATGAACTACTGGGTGAATACCCTGCACATATTACGATAGTGGCATCACTGTAGTTGTTGATATTCCACAGCAGATATGGAAGAGAAAGCCCCCTCAAGAATGTTATTTAAAGCAAGTGAGTGTGTTGTATTCTTTCCAGCTGAACAGCCTTAACAAAACCGATATGTGGAAGCCCAATTGTTGCCCACAAAAAGAAAAAGGAAACCTGGACAGTTTCTGCTGTATTAGCTTAGCAATGCGCCGTCTAGCAGGCTGGACATGTGATGACATATGATGAATGGCTCTGTGGGTGGAAGTGGAAAAATAAATTCCTCATAGATTACGAGCTGACCCACATGCCTGAAACACAAGCTGAACAGAGCACAGATTTACGTGTGTGTGTGTGTGTGTGTGTGTGCGTGAATACAAAGAGGACTTCCTATGGAAGTGACCATCTTTCTGTGTTTTCTTTTAGGAAATTGGCCTGGTCCAATTTCAAAAGGAGCCTTCTTGGTTATTATTATTATGGTATCCCAAAAAAAGGGTAATATCTGTCTAGACAAGTTCACATTCATGTAAGCATGCAGGGACAACGACTTACAGTGTGTTGAGGTTCTTTAGTCGTCTGAAGGAGGCTGGTTGTAAATCCTTGATTTTATTGAACCTCAGGTCTCTGCAGAACATAAGGAAATATATTTAAACCAAGGAAAGTATCAAGTAGGTGTTAGACTTGGAAGGCAGTACACATAAGCATGAACTGGAGTCCACGACACTCGAGGGCAGATTTATTTAACATTTGCTTCAAAGAAAACAATCATGGAACTGGTCTCAGTATCTTTGTCCCTTAACAAAGTTAAAAAGGCTGTGTAATGAAAACGACATGCTTTGACATAGCACTCATCACTCAGTGTGCATTCACAGCGACAAGCTGGACACCATAAAACTAGCCCTGTGAAGGTGACGTCATAGGTTACCTACCTGCCATGTGGCATTACCAGCTACACAATGACAAGTGGGACGTCTCATCTGAACACTGTTATGTCTGTGAACCTTTGGCTGAGTCATCTAATCTCCAGCTAAGCCATTCGATAAATGTATTTTGTACAAGATGGGTACTGTGAAGTGGAACAAGGAGCGTCCATCAGCCTCCTACTGTACCTAAAAGCATTCACTCGTTTTCCCACATGCACAACCACCACAGTGGACTGTTCTGTGCATCCTGAGAAGAAAACACTATTGAAGCCAAAGCGATGAAGAATGTGTTGGAAGCACAGGGCAGATCCATCACAGCCTCTCTAGCTTAACTCAACCTGGCTAATGAACGCACAAAGCAAATACCGTGAGTCACACAAACTGCCTCACCATGCGGTGCGGCAATGCAATGCGGTTTTCGTCCTGGTCGTGGAACAACGGACCAGCTCTTCACTCTTTCCAGGATCATAGAGGGGGCTTGGGAGTATGCTCAACCAGTCTACATGTGTTTTGTGGACTTGGAGAAGGCGTATGACCGGGTCCCCCGAGAGATACTGTGGGAGGTGCTGCGGGAGTACGGGGTGAGGGGGTCCTTGCTTGGGGCCATCCAATCCTTGTACGCCCAAAGCGAGAGCTGTGTTCGGGTGCTCGGCAGTAAGTCGAAGGCGTTTCCGGTTGGGGTTGGCCTTCGCCAGGGCTGCGCCTTGTCACCAATCTTGTTTGTGGTCTTCATGGACAGGATATCGAGGTGTAGTCGGGGGGAGGAGGGTCTACAGTTCGGGGGGCTGCGGATCTCATCGCTGCTTTTTGCAGATGATGTGGTCCTGATGGCATCTTCCGTCTGTGACCTCCAACTCTCACTGGAGCGTTTCGCAGTCGAGTGTGAAGCGGTCGGGATGAGGATTAGCACCTCTAAATCTGAGGCCATGGTTCTCAGCAGGAAACCGATGGATTGCCTACTCCAGGTAGGGAATGTGTCCTTACCCCAAGTGAAGGAGTTCAAGTACCTTGGGGTCTTGTTCACGAGTGAGGGGAAGATGGAGTGTGAGTTTGGCCGGAGAATCGGAGCAGCGGGGGCGGTATTGCACTCGCTTTACCGCACCGTTGTGACGAAAAGAGAGCTGAGCCGGAAGGCAAAGCTCTCGATCTACCGGTCAATCTTCGTTCCTACCCTCACCTATGGTCATGAAGGATGGGTCATGACCGAAAGAACTAGGTCACGGGTACAAGCGGCCGAAATGGGTTTCCTCAGGAGAGTGGCTGGCGTCTCCCTTAGGGATAGGGTGAGAAGCTCAGCCATTCGCGAGGAGCTCGGAGTAGAGCCGCTGCTCCTTTGCGTCAAAAGGAGCCAGTTGAGGTGGTTTGGGCATCTGGTGAGGATGCCCCCTGGGCGCCTCCCTAGGGAGGTGTTTCAGGCACGGCCAGCTGGGAAGAGGCCCCGGGGAAGACCCAGGACTAGGTGGAGAGATTATATCTCTGCACTGGCCTGGGAACGCCTTGGGATCCCCCAGTCAGAGCTGGTAGATGTGGCCCGGGAAAGGGAAGTTTGGGGTCCCCTGCTGGAGCTGTTGCCCCCGCGACCCGACCCCGGATAAGCGGTTGAAGATGGATGGATGCCTCACCATGGCTTTTTGTTTTTTCAGCGATGTCAGACACAACATGTCTTGCAATCGTAAGCTTTAGGGCTGTAGCAAATTGTTTGAAACTTCATTCCTAACGTTTAAGTTTTAGACCATTGCTTCATGTCTTTTCATTGCATTCAAAGCTGTGATTTCAGCACAGCTGCAGATGAAGACCAGACTACTTGAATAGTCTCACCCTTAAAGAATCGGAATTCCAGTGGTGTCTGCGTGGGATTGTTTCCGACATTTTTTCCCAATAACTCTAGTATGTGGAGTTTGAAATAAAGTTCATTTGAAAGACGTTTTTCATGCTACTTGATTTGAAGATTTAATTTAAATGTTGTGTCTACATTAGCTTAGCATTAATAATGCTATACATTCGTTTCTTTTTGATTCCTGTTTCTGTGTAAACTCTCAGCAACCCAACCGAGATGGACAGATTACTGGTGTAATGCGTAAATCAGATGGTAGTCAGTTTGAGCTGTAAGAGGTGACCCGACACACAACAAACCAATGAGGCATATTTGTCCTTGGGCTTCACAAGAAGAGACAGCCGTGTGTAACGGCGCTAGGGGCCTGCAATGGTTTTGGAACCATTGTCCTAAGCAATGGGCCCGGTGTGCAGAGTGGCCTCCTCCGACATGCCAAGGCAGGGGCCGTCCTGCCTACATGCCTCCAGCTAGAAGCGATAAGGTGAGGAGACGGGGGGAGCAGCTCTACATGCTAGTTCAAACAGCACCCGTCACACACAAAGGCACCGCGTCTGATCCCTGCTGGGGTCACTCTAATCAAATGTTCCCCAGCGTTCATTCAAAGCTTCACGTGAACTGGCTCAAACATCACGGTCCTGTATACTGTGAACACATGTATTGAAACCTCCCCAGTCTCCTTTGTGATGGCTGTGGGTGTGTGACGTGAAGCGTTTGTCCTGGTCGGTGGTCAGTATTCTGGCCGTGTGTACGTGCGTCTCAGTGATTGTTTCTTTGTGAAGCGGGCTGAGTAAGCAGCGTTATCATCGACCGATGGAAGGTGATCGGTATCAGCGATGGCGCCATCAGCACCGATGTATCCAGGGGCGGACTGGCCATAGGGGATACCGGGGAAATTATCGCTGGTTATAATACGGGTAGATGGAATCCAGCGTTCTGATTGGTTGAGAGTGAGTCACGGGGTGTGCATTATTGCGCGACAATGTACAGTTGCGCTTCACATTTACCCGAGCGTTCCGTATCAAAGCAACCGGTTAGATTTTGTGCGACCGGTGCTCGGTGGCGATCGCCGAAATAAGACCCGGAAATCCCACAAATGATCGGTTTCAGGCCATGCGAGCTTTCACAACCGGACAAATAAGGTGGACGTCACGAGCGATGTGAATGAAGATGGTGCGAGATCCTGCGAGGAGACCCAATGCTGTTTACATGCACGTACGGGGACTATTCTTCTCTAGACTAGACAAACTGAATGCAAACGGAAATGCGATACGCAACGTTCGGTGGCAGCGAACTGTTACATTAATGGACGATAAAGTACAGCCTCTTGTACCTTATGGCGTATATAACGCACACCCTGTGACTCACTCTACACCAATCAGAGCGCTGCATCTCATCTGTCTGTATTATAAATATAATGTATAGCGTAACTGTGTATAGTGTGAATAAAGTGTATGGGTATTTTTCCAAGTAGGCCACTGACAGGTGGAAATGTGCGACGCTTCGAGCGGGCAGCGCGCCGTGTATTGAACGGAGCCCGCGGGTCGGCCCCTGGTTGTATCCCCTGGGTGCTCTCAGGCTCGCTGTCTGTGGACCTGAAAATTGGCCTTTGAACTGTGTGTGTGTGTGTGTGTGTGTGTGTGTGTGAGTGATTGCTTTGTCTGTGGATCTGTTAATAAAAACGTTGTGCTTGAGCCAAAACCTGACGGCGTCCATCCATCGGAACACAGAAAGCACGCCATGCTTCACAACACAACAACACAACAACAGGATCCTAATTCATAACAGTAACAAACACAAACGCCAATTGTTTTACAAATAAACACCAAGTATTTACTAGACTTTGTCAGCCGAACGAGATGATCTATAAAGCTGCTTTTTCATGTTTTATTGTTAATAAACAGGAGAAAAGCAGATATATGTATAGAGGACGTTTAGGAAACAAATCATTGGTTTTCAAGAAATTGTTCATCTAGTCACCACAAAAAAATTAGCGTGCTTCATTATATTTTTCCAGCACTTATCAAGACTCATTTGAGTGTGTTTTGGATGGCACTGCGCCAGAGGAAACTATAAAACAGCCAGGCTAACCACCCTGCACGGTACTCTGGGTAATGCCAAAACACAAAGGACATGACAATGTGACAGTTACAGCATTAATACAATGAGGGAAAAATAAGATGCTTTGATTTCCTTCTGATAAAAGTAGTTTCTCATGAACACTTAGGCTCATATTTAACTGGCCAGGGTAATAAGGAAAAGGACACAAAAAGATGAAATGAGAGCGTGAAAAGAGCGAATGCCTCATTTTATTATTACATTCAGTTGTTTGCACTGCGGCTTTTTGGCATAAACTAAACTCAAGCCGTACATTTCTCAAAAGAGAATCTGAAGGGCCTATTTAGACTAGACAATCTGTCTGCTGAGACAGGGACACGCTGTGTGTGAGACCTGCAGGTCCACTGGGGTGATTCAGGGACATAGTGACTCACACCAGACAATTACAGAGCTTAGGGAACCACAGGGAACTAATTAAATACACCATCAACTCTCAGACAAGGGTTACAGAAATCCGGGAATATTCTAAACAAAACCAACACAACGATTTACATGTCACACACATGTCATACACATTTACAGGTCATTTAGCAGACGCTTTTATCCAAAGCGACTTACATTACACTTTAAACCCATGGCTTTTCACATTTTGCCCGGGGAGCTATTAGGGGTTAGGTGTCTTGCTCAGGGACGACTTGAGACATGGGGCAGCCGGGACTCGATGGCACACAATGTTCCCAACCAGCTGCATCCAGCGTAGATCGAGCTTAATTTACCATCAAAGATTTTGGAAAATGTTCCGCCGTTTTGCAACCCAAGAATATGTCCACTCTATATCACAGGAAAACAATTTGCGTCAAAGTCTTTTCTTCTTTTCACTTGGCAAACAACAAAAACAGCATCGCAGCCAACTTGGAACTTTGTAGGGATGTTTGCCCCTCACCTCAATTGGTAATGGCAACCCTAGCAACAGACAGCTGTCAAACCAAAAACTGAACTAAATTTTCATGTCCCTCAGTGGCATGGACTTAAAAAAAAGAAAGAAAACATGTGCTCCTTTTGCCGGGCAACTCAGAGGTTTGACACCAAAATAGGAACGCTTCATTACCAGGATCGTATCCGAGAGGAAAGCCAGTGAGGTTTTAGATAATGCTCTGGACCAATACATCAGTGTGGCACTGAAAGGATATCACTTATGTCTGGTCTGTTTTGTGGATAACCTCGACATGATTGTATATATTTTGATCTGTTAGTTATGTTGGAAACCTGCAGTGCAGTTGTGACCAGTCGTAGCACTAGAACACCAAGTTTAAACTTAGTTCAACATCGCAATCACAAACAGCAGCACTAACACAAATGATGGACAGAAATCCCCACAAAAATGCTGTGTTTTTAAATGTGGCAAATGTTTGTAGCTGCCGATTATTGTCCTGGATGCATGTTTGTAGCTGACCGGTCAGACAAGGACTGTGAGTGGCAGGAAAGCTGGAGCAACAAGAAGTATCTGCCACTGTGGTGCCATGCATTTACCACGGACGGTATGAACCCTTGAGTATTAAAGAAAAATAAAACCAAATGATCCTAAACTGTTGACCGTAGCTGTAAGGAGGTTTCTCTAAGCTCCCGTCTGAGCCATGACGACGAGTGGACCTGGCTGCTGCCCAACTCCACCACCATCTGAGTTCCATGTGTGGACCGCTCCTCTCGTTCTCTCCCCTCCAGTCAGGGGCGTCCTTTGGCTCTGTGACATGAGCCCAAGTGGGCTTGCCAAAGACTCTCGGGCGTGCATGAGTCATTGTTAAACACGAACATGGCCGGCTCCGCGCTGGAACATCGGACCAGGATCTCCAAACATGGCTGCGATGGCTCTCTGCAAAGCACATCATGTTTCCTTAACCACTGGTTCCATCTATGTTTGCACCAAGATAGTATTTCTTCAGCTGGGAATGCTGATGATGATGCACCAAAGACCTTTGCTAGGCATTTTGAAATTGCCTTTAACGCTTATTCGTTTGTTGCTTGTCACTTAAACAATGTACACTGCAGGCCACAGCTGGAACCACTGCCCTCCACAGGATACTCCAACCCAAATAGGTACGTCGTCACTAGACTACAGCATGCAACACTTGTTTCAGCTGTCCATAATCCCCGGTGCCACATAGGTACTAAAGTCCATTGGCTTTCTCTAACTGGCCGATCAGTCTAATTTCCCGGATATCACAGTAACACATTATTAGCAGAGATATAAATTACACCTTTATATAGCACTTTCCTATGCAAATTTGGGAAACACTTTATGGACAGCCTATAGGACAATGAAAGAGCATTGGTAGACCGAGCACAATAAACACTAACTCATTCTCCTTTGTATGAGTTCCAACATGTGGTATATTTCTGGGGCGCAGCAAACGCTGAAATGTATTAACCGTCGATGTGGGAAACAGCCTAAATTCTGGATTCATTTACGGTACTTTTTCCAGGAACTTATCTAGAAGGAAATGTGCACCAGAGTTCTTCTGAATTCACCAGCTGTCCTGCATAGGATGGGCCAAAACAAGGGGCCCCCAGGGGGCCCGCAGAGATCCTGTCAGCAACTATCCTCGGCCCAATCTCGCTGCGCAAATGAGTGACGCTCTGGAGATTTCTGCTTTGCATTCCATAATGCTGCAGAGACCGAGCGCCTCTCAAAGCCTGACTGCAGCAAATTCCACACAACGCAGTGAGACCGGGCCGCCGCTGTGTGCCGTGAGCGCAAAAGACATTTACACAGAGAACAACCAGGTAGAACTCAAAGGAGGCGGCGGCCATGGAAATGTGTCTCCTGCCAGGACACAGCAAACAACCGACAACATCCAGCGAGCGGGCTTCCTGTGCCAAAGCACCAGATTCTACTCACAACTTCTTAACTGCCAACCGCCAAGTATGCAAAGAAAATGTTTGTTTACCGCAACTGTGTTTAAGAGCCTCGTTCATCACAGTACACTGTAATCCCAATTTTACGATACGTGGACTTTGGGTATCAGCCAATACAGAGAACCAATCTAATCCCAGTGTACATTAGAATATGTCCCTGATATATATGTTTTAGATTCATAAATGACAAGTTCACAGCAGTGTAGATTACAAGCAAACAACCAGGAGGAAAAAGACGCTTTGTTAGAAGCTGTACAGACAACTTCTATTAAAATCCATTCAGACTAGCATGTTATGAGGCTTAGTGCAATTAGCCACAGCAAACAGACCACAAACTGCAGCCAAGGATCAGATCTTTCTCACTGCAGACGTAACAGTTTGGGGTAAATATTGTATAGAACCGAATGGGATGAAGCTGAGCAGTACGTCGGAGCAAGGGGGCAAAAGCAACAAGTGGTTGATGCTCTCCTGGTCCCTCTACCAGATTTCGACCCAGCCAGAAGACTGTCCTCTGGGGGTATCTAGGCAGTAAGTCTGTGGGCTGACCCCAAATGACACGAGGCCAGGCGAGTGTCTCTTTGTCCCACCGTGCCCGGCCTGGATCAGGTCATTTACAGGTCTGTGCATCGTGGCCTGAGATGCACATTTACCGTTGTTTTCTTGTGGCAGCTACATTATAAACGGACCTGTGTCCTGACAAACAGCCCCATTCACAAGTGTATGTCAACCGAGAAGTATTTCCCTCCCTTTCATCTCGGGAGGTGGGAAGTCAAACATGGAGATTAGCGGCACCAAAACCCATCCAAGCACAACTTTAGCTTTTCTCAATGCAGAGGAGGAAGCGGCTTTAGGAGCTTCTCCACATCTCCATCACAATGTGGTGTAGTGATGAAGGAGCCCGTTTGTCACGGCGGTTCTTGAACTGCTCCATGGATATTGACGTAAACATTTCAACGCTCCGAACGAATATTGGACTGAGGCTCAACTCTTATCGGACTCTCGCTTATTGTTTGGCTGTAAATGTCTCAATGATGGAGATGTGAACACCTCAGTGGCAGAAGCGCTTTCATGTGGTGGGACTCCGCGTCGCTTGAGGCCGACTTCTCCAGCTGTGTGTGACCCCAAACCTCTGCTGGTCCACCTCCACCAGCTGAACCCACCGGGGGGAAACTTTCCCAAGCAGCGAAACAACCTCCGCACTACTTTCAGCAGTGGCTCAAGACTTCTACGATGTTGCTTTTTTAACACGGACTAATTAACACAACCATTAAAGCTTTAACGCGGGCCTCAAGTGAAAAAACAAATATGTACAAGTGCGAAATGGAGCGTTCGCTGCGTCCCCGTGCGGCGTCTCCGTTGAGGGGGAAAAGCTACTTACAGAATGGTGGTCTGCGGCGACACAGCCGGCACGGTGTCCAGGTTCAGATGCATACATCTCACGGTGGTTCGGAAGCACAAACAGCGACTCGGGCAGCAGAGCGCGAGCCGCGGGCCGCTGGCGAGCAACAACAAAGACAGCGCGAGCACACACGGAGGGAGAAGCTGGCCAGCCCGCAGCGCCATTGCTAGCTAGTGAGCCGTGCGCAGACCGCTAGCTGCCGCTAGCACGCACACCCACACCACGGTCAGCGAGACCGGGGGGGAGGCAGGCGAGGGGGGGGAGACAGGCGGGGAGGCGGGTGCGTACGTGTAGGTGTGTGTGTGTGTGTGTGTGGCACTGGAACACTGATTCATGATCGCTGAACTTAATGTCATCCAATGAAATTGCAGTTGGTCCTCCTCAACTGCTGTAATGAAACACACACGTTAATCACCTGATGATCATGTCAAACTCCCGAAACTTCATATTATCTCGCAATTTCTTTAAAATCGCTTTTTTAGGAACATACTGGTGTAACTTAGTACACCTTAATTAAAATAACAACGTATATAATTAAAGTAAACGTGTAAAAAATAATACTTTAGCAGAGTCCAACATTTTAGTCAGAAGTACAGAAGAACATGTTTGAATCGATACGCGAGTGTATTGATGCTTTATCAATGTTCCACACATACAAAATAATTATGTCATTTTAGTGCTACGGATAGTTGTCAAATAGCTAAAAGTGAAATGTTATGGTGTAAAATGTATTTATGTTATCAATTGGATTTATAAAGCAACATAAAATAATACGGTAAAGTACAGGGAAATAATTATATTTAAACGATAAAGTAGACTCTTACTTGAGAAAACATATGCTGGTCCTTATTAATAATAGCAATGATGTTCAGTCATGTTCAAAAGTAGAAGAGAGAAGAGTAGAATTAGCTAAAAGAACAAAGGCATGCTAAGAAAGCACATGTTCACTTTACTAGCTTTGCGTTAGCTTAGCATTAGCTTGGCTCAGGGCCCCTGGAGAAGGTCCCGCCTGCAGCCTAACATTTTGTTAAAGACCAGTGGAGCTGCTGCATTCTGGGATGAGCTGCAGAGGTCGAATGTCGGTAGCAGGGACACCTGCAGGAGAGAGTAGTAGTCCAGGTGGGAGATGACAAGAGCCTGAATCAGTACCTGCGCAGTAGGGGTGTAACGATTCATTTTAACAACGATTCGATTTGAATCACGATTCATGGTTGCCGATTCGATTCATGGACAATCTGGGTTAATTTAGAACGATTCGATTCGATTCAGTGACTTGAAATCGATTCAGTAACTTTACTGGACAGTGCAGGCAAACTTTCTGAAATCCCTGTTGTTTCTTGTAAGGAAATCAGGTTTAAATTAATTATGGATGTTATAAACAAGCAAACAACGATTCACAGAACCCCGGATTTTCAACCACATTGTAGGGTCGCATGTCTTTACAGATAAACTTGGCAATTGTTACTGTGATGTTGAGTTTGGTGCTGGCGAGGCCCGAGGTGTCTGCAGAGCTGGAGTTACCTGCTGCTGCTGCAGCGGTGACGCTGCTAGAGGTCCTGACTGTCGGCGTTGTTTAATCCCACGGCGCCTTAGTAGATGGACGGAAAGATTCGTCGCGTTTCCGTGGTTTTTTTATTTGTCTTCTACATATTCTACAAACAGCGACCGACTTATTTAGAACACTTCCGTGTTTGCAAAAGCCAAAATGTTTCCACACGCTGGATCGATAAGTTGGTTTGTAAATGTCTTGCTCGCAGTCGTCTCCTCCATGCGGTGTTTTGTTGTTGTTCCGAGTTTCGTCACAGACAGGCAGACTGAATCGAGTAACGTTTAACGTGTCTAAAGTGCTAAAAAACAAACAAACACACACACACATCCATGCCGTTTTTGTACTTAAATCCAGTGTGCAGTTTCCAAGTATCAATACAATCGATTATGTACCATTTCAATCGATTTGTAATCGATATATGTCGTCTGGAATGCTGATTTGCGGAGCACAGATCGATTCAGTTGGATCGCAGGAATATAAATCGATTAATCGATTCAGTGAATGAATCGTTACACCCCTACTGCGCTGCCTTCTGAGTGAGAAGAGGACGTGTTCTCCTGATGTTGTAGAGAGTGTATCTACAGCATCGTGTTGTCGCAGTGATGTTGGGAGTCAGGTAGAGTCGGCTGTCGAGTGTCACGGCGAGGTTCCTAGCAGTCAAAGTGGGCGTTAACACAGAGTTGCCAAACCTGGTCAGGTCCTGGGTCGGAGAATCTTTTCCGGGAAAGAGAAGTAGTTCAGTCTTGTCGGGGTTGATTTTCAGGTGGTGGGCGGACATCCACTGAGTGATGTCAGTCAGACAGGCAGAGATCCGTGCTGCCACCTGGGTGTCCGGGTGAGGGAAGGAGAGAATTAGTTGGGTGTCATCGGCATAGCTGTGGTAGGAGAAGCCAGGCGAGCGAATGACAGCGCCGAGAGAGTTGGCGTAGAGCGAGAAGAGGAGGGGACCCAGGACGGAACCCTGAGGAACTCAGGAAGACGACTAGGGGTTTCGAGGAGGTTGGAGAAGATCGAAAAGTTTAAAGGCCGGATTGCACGAACAACATGCATTGCAAGTCACAACACCAGCACACAAACATGTTGCAAAGAGATGCAGGCACTAACTGGGTCAAATGCAGTTCAACAGGAAGCAACTGTTCCCCATTTTAGAATAACATGCCCATACAAAGAACTAAACCCGACACTCATAGGCAGAACACCTACTTTGCACAAATCTTGCAAACATCCTGATATGTAATATATGTTACCATATTATCCTGATAATCAAAAATGCTCCTAGACTATATAATTCAAGCGCATTTTGTATTAAGCACCTTCTTTCATGTTGTTGTTAAACTGCCTGAAATAGGTCTGTGCCGTTAAACTGCAGGACAGAATACTCTTGTTGCTCGCACGACACATAACTTCAAAATATACTCACTACTCTCTCTTAACAAAAAACGTAACCATCCATCCATCCATCGCCAAACCTCTTATCCTGCAGATGTGGGGGGGCTGCTGGAGTCTATACCTTCAGGCGAAAGACACATTACACCCTGGACTGGTTGTCGCCAATGGCAGGGCCACACAGAGACTTACAACCATTCACACATCTACGAGTCCCCAATCAACCCGATCCCCAGAGCATGTCTCTGGACTTTGGGAGGAAGCCAGAGCACCCGGGGAGAACCCCCACAGACCCTGGGAGAACATGCAGACTCCACACAGAAAGGTCACTGGGCGGAGTCGAACCCAGAACCTTCGTGCTGTGAGGCGACAGTGCTAACCACCACGCCACCGTGCCGCTCCACAACGTAACCAAGTTAGGCTAATTCAGGATTCCGACCGTGGGCTAATCAACGTGTTGATGATCACAGGTGTGCATAATGAAGTAGACGTGTTGGCCCAGGTAACGCGCGCGGGTACGTGGTCACAATCAGAAGCGAGAGCAAGAAACCGTGCATGGATCATAGATGCCGGATGGTACTACATGTTCAACAATAAAATAGAATCAGTGGACATCTGAGTATTATTAAAACAGCTTTTACATGAAGCCAGTCATCCAACACGTAGACTGAGGCCTATATGTTAAATGGTTTGCTGACATCTGCTGGTTAATGTAGAGATAACACCTATGTTTTCCTAATGAGCATCGGCACACGGAATGATGACGTTGCATCATTTTGAAAAAGTTTATTCAGATTTGATGTTAATATCAACATTACATAAACCATCTTGGAAAAACGTTGAAGGTAAAGCTCCATGACTTTATCTCTCATACCACATCGGCCTATCGAGGAGTGACAGTCGGCCTGTTTTACACTACAAGCTCAGAGTAAACTGGTAGTTTACACCTTTGATTGGTTTATTATCTCAGATTGGAACTCCACTCAGTATCAATCCACGTCAGTACTCATGGTGGTTGTGTTGTGTGTCGGTCAGGGAGGTAGTTGTGTCTCCTTTTGCTGGCATACTGCTGTCTCATTGCTCCTCACAATGCGGCCCCACATGCTATTGTTAGCATGACAGTTTGGAAGCTCGGGTAAACTTTACAGTGCAAGCCTTGTTTTAGAATATTCCATGGACTGTGGTATTTTATTTACAGCGAGCATAATAACAATATCCTTTGCTACCAATATGCATTAGTGCGTTCAATTCTCAAGGAGGCCTTGATCAGTTTTGCTCGCCATCCCCGGTTGCTACTTCTAAAGTTATGAGAGAGTTAATCTAAAGTGAGGAATATCTACCATCTGATATTGTCCATGTGTCATGCGTGTGGATTTGAGAGCTGTGGCTAGTCGACGCGGTGCGGCAGACCAACAACACTGACATATGTATGTATGCAACACCTCTGCAAATTACAGCTATAAAAGAGAGAGCGAGAGAGGGAGACACTGGATACACTAGCTGTAAAAGATACAACAGAGAGCAGGGAGCAAAAGAAACGCTATGTGATCCATCCATCCTGGCTACAAAGGAACAGTTACCATAAAGAGACTCGGAGGGGACTGAAAAGAGATAAAAGTTACCTGCAAAACAGATGAAAAGAGATAACAAAGACTCACAATGACTATAAAAAAGAGCAAAACAACCACAGAGGAACTACAAAGAGACTCAAAATGTCAGCCAGCAACTGAAACAATGGCAAAGAGATTCAAAAAGACTACAAAGAGAACAAAAACTATTCAGACGACACACAAAAGAAAGATGAAGAAGCTGGGAATGACCACAGAGACTCGTTATCACAGAGGAGCAGTAGGTATAAATCCATCACATACTTTATATTTGTATACTTACATTCCACCACTTTCTATAACTAATCCTAAGTGTGAGCACATGAACACGGAGGAGTGACCTTATTTCAGCCCCAGTAAGTATTTAAGGGACAAATCTGTTCACTTCCTCTTTGGCTCAGTTGTGACATCCCTCTCCCCGAGGCGCTTTGTGATACTGGTCAACACACATAAAACTGACTGACCGGTAAGGAGCACCTGGACTAAATCACTTCACGGAGCTCTGGAAACACCTTTTTTCTTTTACTTTATTCAGAGTAAGATGTGTCAACATCCAGCATGACAAAAAATTGTACAAAGTTCACAATTTATAAATGAAATATCACAGCAACTTGTGATCTCACACATTTATAGCAAAATTAAAATGTCAACAAATCCATGCTGTGTAGTACAAAAATAAATCAAACTTCAGTTCCACAGAGAGCACAATAGTTTATACAAAATCCTTTCTTTGTCGATGGCCACTGAAAAACAACCGTAAGAATGAATCGCCTCAGATAAATTAATAAAACTTTTATGAATTCACTATAATTTATATGAAAAGTCAGCTTCCTAAACCTGTTTGTGTTCCCTATAGACAGTCACAGGTAACTCTATTCCCATTTGTTATTTACGTACCCACATCACATGAGCAGCCGGTTTGTGCTTTAAAATCCACCTTTCCCTTTTTTACTGATTATGAGACTTAATTGAGAAAACTGCCAGCTATTACTCTACCGAAGCGTTACTGTACTGGCGAAAAAGCTGCAGACACGATGCTGTGGAAAAGGCCTATGCAGTCATGGATGATGGGTAGTAACGGTCCCGAAAGGAGGACAGTAAAGTACAATACATGAGACTCCATCAGGTGAACGACAAGCACCTTTTTGCTTCAGCCCCCAAAAAAGGCTATTCTGAACATGGCCGAGGGAGGGGCGCACGCTGGATCGCGCCCCCCCTCCCAGGTCTCGTCTCACCATCTCTTCAGCTTTTTTTAATTCTTTTTTTATAAACCTTGAACTGATTGACTATTTAATCCTTTATACAGTGATTAGATATAAAGTGCTGCTGGGGGGTAACTTCATCGTCCTAAAACATAGCAAAAATGAAAGTTATTACACTTGATAAGTATCACTGCAGTGGTTCAAACCTCCTTCCTCTCTGATTCCAAGTGGCTCCGAGCAGTTGCTTCCTCCAATCCGGTGCCAAAGAGGTCGTCTGGAAAAAAAATTGCACGCCGCCGTACGCAAGGGTAATATCTTTAAGGACAAGTGCAAATAGTCTACTGGCACATAAGTGGGGACAGTGACCCTGTAAGTCCCGCTGTCATACTCTATAAATACTCTTTACAAAACCCTCTGAAAGCCTCCTTCGGGCTCCGGGGTACTGCTTTCAGCTTCTGTGAGAACATCAGAACATGGAAACGAAGGTGTCCCTGTGCAAAGTCGTACAGAAAAACAAGTGGAACTCATATCATTTCCCTTCTAAAACGCAATGTCCAGGTTCCCTCCCTTTTAAAAAGACTTTTTTCTGTATTAAAAGATTTGTATAAAAATCAATATTTTACATATATTAAAAAGATGTTGTGTTACCCCGCTATGCTTACAAACAAGAAATTGCATATACCCAACCTTTTTTTTTTTCTTTTCCACCGCAGATTGCATTCCGTACCTACAATAAACGACTGATTTAGTTATTATATCGCTGACGTTACTTAGTCAAAACAACACGAGTCACCAAATTGCGCAGATTTGATAGCTAAAGGCTAGAATGTGGTCATTGTCTTCACACGCCATTCTATTTGAGATTAGTTTCGGGTGAGCATGTGACCATGCGTTCCTCTAGGAATGAATTGGCTCTCCTAGATTATGGGATTTTCCACCGTCGGGTTTCCGTGTAATGATGTTTACAATAGAACTATTCATTCGTACATTCATACATACATCAGGTCAGTTTCCTCTGCGGATTCATTTACAGCACCAGTTTAAAATGCCCCCACCAACAGCTAAAACCTCTTGTTTTTTTACTTCTTCAAAAGAAAACACAAACATTTCTGAAGCATTGTCCCAAAACAAAGCCATTTGCAAACTGGTTCTTGCTCTTCAACAAACCACACGCAAGAAGAAGAATACAAAATAAAAAAACATCTAGAATCATACAGTCCCAAATCATCCAGTGGGGAGAAAATTTAGTAGCTTCCTTTTTTTTTTACTCCACTGTCCAGTTTTTTTTTCCATCTAAAATCCTTTGCTGTCGAGCAATAAAAAGAACTCCCGAACTATTATCATTAGCTTACTGTTCGGAAATATACACTAAAATGTGCATACATGAGCAGCTAGAAACATTACATGACACGATGTCAGCTCATATGAAAACGTACAAAATGTGAATGTCCTCAAAAACTATTTTGCCGATGACTCTTCTTGTGTTCTTCCTCAAAGCAAGGCCCGGAAAAAAAAATCATCTAGAGGTCTTTTATAAGTATCGCACCCCTTAGTATTTTTTTGAAGGAGCAGAATTTAGAATATATAACACTATGTGAGACCAAACCACCACTGGCTGTTGATTCAGGGGCCACACCTGCTGGGGAACCAAAGTCTCGGCCTCTGCTGACCGGCTACACTTGAATCCCTTGAACCGCCTGCTTGATGTTGTCCAACAGGACTTTGTTTTCTGGGCTCTGGTACGGGTCCTGGTTTGAGTACATGTCCGAGAGGGTGGTGACGTAGGCGTCAAAGTTCTGCTCGCTTATTGGCTCCTGCGGGACCAAAGACACAACGCGGAGGCTGTTAGAGGAAGGCAGAGGCAACGGGACATTTAATAGTTTGACACGGGTGGATATTTCTCAACCTGGACCCTGATTTCTCATACGTTTGTATCTAGTGGGGGGCAACGGTTTGTTGGAGTAAGTCCAGTCATGAAGGAGAACTACACAGAGCGACGTTCCTTTTCCAGGAGAGAACTCTTCTTGGCTAAATATGGGACTGTGACAGGTGCCGTTCTTCTTCTGTGGTGCAGAGGTGCCTCTGTCTGTCGACCTTCTCTCTCCTCTTGCCCTCTTCCTTCGTAGGAGCGCTTCATCCACATACTCCGGCTCAAATGAATACAGGCTGCCATCAACAGTAAGGGTTGCCTGGTAACCATTGCTAACAAAAGTTGGAATCCAATTCTTGGCATTCGGTTCCCATGAGTAGCACAATTTTTTCCACATGAACCATAGGGACAGTAAATAGCAAATTATTGTATGTTCCATTATAACTATATATGATTATAATTATTTAAAATTCAAGCTAACTAAAAATTGCAACCATATTTTCAGTTTTGGTGACTGAGAGTTGATGCCTGGTTGGCACTTAAAAAATATGAAAAAAAAGATGTTTCCCAACGTCCCATTGCTGTGGGAGCTTGTTGCCACAGCAAAACTCCATCCATGTCCATAGTTGTCAGACTCTTTTAGTAGAGATCCATTGAAGGTTAGGAGGACACAGCGGCGGCCATCTGCAGTGCTCGGCCTCAACACTGGAGTAATTGTCCCTATGAATCATCTTATCAGCTTGGATGTGTTGTGAAATGTATGACATCGCTACGTATTATGATTGAATTTCCTTTCTTTGCTTCCATAACAACTTACTTGCTGGTGCAGCTGTAAGCAGCTGTTGTTCCTCAGAGGAAGCTCTTTGTGTGCCAGTGGTTTCTACGGAGAGAGAGCACGGACACGTTTATATTAGAAACCACGTGGTTATTCTTACATTAAGCACTAGAGGGCAGTATTTGATACAGTGCCACACACAGAAGACTTTAAAAGAACAGGAAAATAGAAGCTGGAAGACAAATGGAGTCAGGATTTATCAGAAACACTGCTGAAATAAAAAAGGAGGATATTTAAAATGAGCTTTCTACATAGACATAGACAATTTTTAACTGAAGACAGATTCTTTGTCAATAAATACATGTTAACTAATCCATTATGCAAGAGGATGTCATGGAAGAAGGAAATATCAAGGGATAAAAAACAGGATGTATGACTACTCTAAAACAACTAAATGTAATGCCTTTTTATGATTATTTCACTATCCAGGGTCTGAAGTTCATGAATATTTTTATTCAAACTTGAAACAAATCCATTTTCTATACACTTTAATCATTGTATAATGGTAAAACCTCAATGTTTGTTGTTGAGTGTATCACAGATTTATGTTGTTGGAGATGCTACCACTGTGAAAGAAATGGCCAATCAAACCTCAGCTCACAACTCCCCCTCGTCTTTTGGAAGGTAAATCAATGCTGACTTAGACTCGGCATGCACAGTACAACGTGATCTCCAAAACCTGTTCGTAAAAATGTGTACGAAAATCTTGAACATACAAATTCGTAACAATACGAACTGGCGGTGGTTGACCACGCCCCTTGAGTGAACAACATGGCGGACCATGTCGGATTACTGAGTGAATGTCTCTCCGCCATGTTGGATTCTTGAGTGAACGTGAATAGGGTGACGTCATCAGTTGCAGCATTTATTTAGTGTGTATCACTACGAATTTGTATGTTCAAGATTTTCGTATACATTTTTACAAACAGGTTTTGGAGATCAGACTGGATCGTAATAGATGCTACATGTATGCTAAATGAATGCTAAATGGATGCTACATAGGCGCTACATGTATGCTACATGTATGATAAATGGATGCTACATAGGTGCTACATATATGATACATAGATGCTACATGTATGCTACATAGGCGCTATATATGTTATATAGCCTAGGTGCTGCATAGATGCTACATGGATGCTACATAGGTGCTACATAGATGCTACATATACGCTATATAGCCTAGGTGCTGCATAGATGCTATATACAGTGTAGGTGCTACATGGATGCTACATAGGTGCTACATAGACGCTATATAGGTTCTACATAGGTGCTACATATACACTATATAGGTGCTACGCGCGGCTATGTTCTGCGCCTTGCTGGCCTACTGTTCCTGTTGGCCCTTACCATATGAGGGAGCTGGACATTAGCTAAACTGTTAGTCAGTGACTGACTGAGGTGGGACAGCTTATGCAGGAGAGATTCATTTTGCTGTTCAATCACCTTGTTTTCCTCCTCTATGGACTTCATGCTGGACTCCATTGTTGTGATCTGAGGGGAGGACAGGGGGGTGACAGGAAGTTACGGTATGGCGCTGTATTGGCTCACATGTACATTAACACACTGGACGCTGGAGGTAGAAGGGACTCACTTGTGTTCTGAGTTTGATCATATCTGCTTCCACTTGTGAGTTTGATTCACTTAAATCTTTGATATCTGCATCCAGCTGTTTGATGTCCTCTTCATGCTCCAGTCCTGCAGAGGAAGAGCGGCAGTGACACATCAGCGAGCCCTCAGTCATGCGTTCGATTAACAGTCTATGTGTTGGACTCAACTAATTACAAAAGGCACAATATGACACTGTAGCTTGGTGTCGGCCGTTAGTCGGACACGGTTTGCTGATTGGTTCGGCTGTGTGGCCGAGTGGGAGTTGCGGTTACCGTTGCCGGCACATTGCTGCTTTATTGTTAGCAGTTCCACTCCGGAGAGCCTGGCTTTCCTCATGGCCGAGGTGGCGCGCGGACAGCCGGACAGACTGCAGGCAGCGACAAGGAGAAGCATTGTTTCAGTGTATTACACACTCGTATAGGGAGGTTAGAAGGAAACTTTGTCGTGGACTTCAACGCTCAAAGGTTCCTATGGTTCGTAACACGATGAATGAATGGAAAACCAACTCTTCCAATATTAGCAGCGCAACCCAGCGTCCTGACCCACCTGCGATGTGTCAGGAAGCTGCCGCTGACGTGGCCCGAGCCGTCACAGCCCGGCGTGGGGCAGGACATGCCCTCCGTCTTGCCGGACTTCCATGTGAACTGGATGCCGTTTAGGTAGCCGTCCTTCTGCCGTTTGGCTGCTATGGGGCACCCCGATGCGCTTCTGTGGGACGCGTACTTCCCCGTCACGTGTCCCTGTCCATCGCAACCTGGGACGGGACACCTGTGGGGGAGGGACGAAGTAGAATGTTCAAACTAACGGCGTAGTTCATTCATTGGCACGCGTTCTTTCAACTTGCTCACGTCTTCGTAGTTGATTCATGGAGACATGGAGTTATTGTGACCAGGTGAGTGTACCCGCTGTGTGCTGTACGCTACAGTGTGTCTGCCTCCTGAGTACCGACACACCACAGAACGCATGCGCCAACATCCTTTTTCTCCGCCGCTCTGATATAAACAAAGGTACTTGTTTGAAGTGGTGCCGCTGGCGGTCTTATCGCAGTTTGGGAATGCTGACAGGGCATCGTCACCAGTGCTAATCACATGCAACGAGGCGGTAAATGATTCCAAATGTCACAGCTCCCAAAAGGGATTGTGAGCTGAAGCTAGCTATGGTTGTGAGAGTGTCTGTCTGTAAATAGCTGCTACCAGGTTTTGGTTCAGCTGTCTGACTGCAGAGACAGATACGGGGGTCATCACGCGTCGCCACGTTGGCCTTTCTGTTAAATATGAGCCCGGTACTCGAGTCAACATAGATCACAAGTCTGGGGAAATTGTTGAGCTAATACATCCACCAAAGCCCCAATGCTTTAAGGGGACAGTCCACCCCAAAATCTACGATACATATTACCTCCTTTTACAGCGGTGCTACTTCATAATCTTGATCGATTGGTTGTCCAGCTCGTGGTACTCAAATCATACAAAAATACAGTTAAAAAACTCAAAAAGCAATGTTTCTTTACAGAAATCATGACCCTGTAACTCTAGATAATCCATCGAACCATCCCAAAGTCCCTTACTTGTTTCCGACAGAATGACAGCGGTTGGATGGAGAGTGGCCACAGTGTGTTATCTGTGCTCTGGACCACCGGAGAAATCAATGCAGCTTCTGGCCCGAGGCCCGACAAGCCCACTGTGGGATTTAGGCGGAGGCCAATCAATCTCTCTCTGCATCCGTCTCCCTCTCACCTGTGTGTCTGCAGGAGTCCACCAGAGATCTCTCTAAACTGCTACAGCCTCTGAAGTCTCTCCTGCACCTTCTCATTTGGCTTCACACGCTCTTGTCAGAGCCAGTGCTGAATAACTTGTGCCGGGTGAAACGGGCAAGTGCTGCTAGGACAAACCTGATAGGTTCCTGGTCCTCCTTGTTCTCCTTGCTGTGGATGATCTTTATCCCGCTTTTCCTGGCGCGCGGACACCCTGAGAGACTGCAGAGAAATGATAGAGAGCGGAGGCACACAGTGTGCGTGAGGGAGGGAGAAGCAGCAGAGTAAAGGAAGTTTACGTGTCATTCATGTAGCATGAGACAAGGCGCTGAGAAAAAGGGAGCGAGCGCTCCATGTATGTCGTACCTTCTGTGCGAGGCGTAGTTGCCAGTGATATGTCCCGAACCATCGCACCCTGGTGTCGGGCACCTGGGGCAGAAAACACAGAAAGGGCTCAGGGTCTACAGCAAAGGCGTAGCATCCCGAGGATAACGTTGTGTGCGCATATTTATAGTTGTTTGGGCCATTTGCTTCAGCACCAATGGTAGGGGGCCCGTGTCCCGTGTGGTGGGCGTGGACAGACTAGACCACAACAGGAATATTTGATCTTAAGAAAAATAAAGAAATTCACATGCCAAAACTTTATTAGTATTTAAGTCACTTGTATCAATAAGGCTTTGTTCATATGTATTTGTATTGATCCGTGCTAGCAGATGTGCCGTACATTTGTTAACCATTTAACTAACTCTGCGCTGTGAAGTTTAAAACAGGTGATGTTTCGTGATGAGGGCAGCTGATACTTTATCAGTTATACTTCATAAATTAAAGAAGAGTAATATTCTATATTTTTCTTAATTTCAGCAATTAATGACATTAGAAGACCAAATCTTTGTTAGTCCATTCTGACTTCCCTGTCCCGGCTACTGAAGACGTACGTCTTTTAAAACGCCTCGTAAATAGTATCATTAAAAAAGGAATAAGGAACTTTATTTGTCATCTGGAAACAGAAAACAAACAAAAAGAAATGCATGCATTGGGGACTATTTTCAGTGGTGCATTAATTAATCACTGAATCATGTTTGCTGTGCCAGTGAGTATCTGCAGCAGCAGGACAGATAGGGGGGAATTAAAGCAGAGTGTGTGTGTGTGTCTGTGTGTGTGTACACGCAGACAAATATAACAGTACTTAAAAGGATCAATAGTCTGGTCCTGTTGACTGGTTTGGTTGACAATATAAGCAGATTGAATAGAGCAGACCGTAGGTATTTTCCTTAGAAAGCAGTGAAATAAAACTCCATGACTCCATGTTTGAGCAGCTGCTGTGCGTCACCTGTTTCACTGTAATAAGGGGCTGAATGAGCGAGACACAAACATCATCCACGTATCAATAAATCATCTCACGCCTTACTTGAGCTCTTGAGCGTTGTTGGCCAGCATACTTCGGATGCTTTTATCGGCTAAAGGACAACCTGAGAGACTGAAAAATACAACCAGTGGAACATTAGTTACCCCCGAGCGCTGTAACACAAAGTCCTCTCTCAGACCTCTCGGCTCTCTGCACGCACACATTTACAAACATCAACTATTTGGAAACGCAATAAGAAACAAAAACCTGATTGAAATCAGTTAACCCTCTGAGTATTTGAACTCATACGCTACTGCGTTGGTTTTCGACGCTGGGTGCGCTCTGCACTCCACTTCAAACAGGGCGGAGTGAATAAAACATGTTGAATTAACGTGTCGGCTTGTTTTCAAAGAACACAACTTATGGGGAATCGTGAGCGTGTTGTGGGGGGAAAAGCCCGGTCTGCGTTGCACTGTGGGGAGGCTTACAAGGCTTCACAGCCGGCCCACTGAGGAATCACTCCGTCCCGAGGTCCAGCTTAGAGATGAGCACGTATCCCATCTTTAATTCAGTTACTCCTGATTTATTACAATAGTCAGAGGGCTAACAGGGGAGAGAGGAGCGTTCGGCCTACAGCTGTTGGACGGCAGCGTCGAGGTAAGCTGAAAACAATAAAGAGAATCCACCAGGACGAAAGGAAGTCAAAGGCCAAATTGCTGGTCATGTGACCACTTCCATCACACCTCGACGTGGGACATCTGCCGCCGGAGAAACAGAGAGATTTATAAGCCCAGATGGAAGGAGGAGGGCGTCTAAAAATAAAGGGGGAGAGGGGAGTTGTTTCCGATTGTTTTTCATTGTTTCCAGTTTAGCTTCACTGTCCGTGATCGATACGGAGGTTTCAGCTCCACTAGCTGTGGCAGACTGACGGCCAGTGTTGTGTCTTATAAAGACAAAGCATCAAAAGAAAGGGAGAGACAGCTATGGAGGCATCAGAGGAAGCTTCCAGCTCAGAGATGGCTGTGGACAAAAAAAAAAAAAAGTCATGCAGCAACACAGGATGTGGAAGCGAAGAGGAGCTGTGGTTCCCTGAGGTTAAGTGGAGCAAAGAGAAAAGATGAAAACAAAAGAGAGTAATGAGATGGGGGGAGAGGAGAGGTGGGGGTGAGGAGGAGGCCTTACGTGATCAGGTCCTTCTTGCCCTCCTTGCAGTGGACGTACTTGGGCTTGGGGCTGGGGATGCTGACGTCTGCGGTGTAGGAGCGCTCCTCCAGCAGGTCGTGGAACGGGTCCAGGTCGTCCGCCTGAGATCGGGTGGGAGCAGAGGTGGAGGGGGGAGGGGGGGCAGCGGGGGAGGAGGAAGGGGAGAGGTATTCATTATATGTTATTACACTCTCAACTGTCAGTTAGAAAGGGTTTCATTTACTGGCACGTGATGAAACTCAGAGTTTCTCATTAAACAGCCTTTTGCTTTGGCTTCCGTTACACGCGCACACACACACACACACACGCACGCACGCACACACACACACACACACACACACACACACACACACACACACACACACACACACACACACACACACACCCTTGTCGGACCATGGAGTCTTGTCAATTTTAATGCTAATGGTTGAGTCTGTGTGACTATTGAGCCTCACCTGTCAGTCTAACAGAGCAAGAAAATAGATCCCCGAGAGGAAATAACGACTTGGAGTAGCGTGCGTGTCCGTGCGTGTGCTCCCCTGTGCGGTTTGCACACGTTCGAGCGCTGTGCGTGAGACAACGGGGCACAGAGGGGAGTTGGCTGTCGTAATGCAGCAGTCGGCCTGCTAGATGGCACTGCGGCGCAGCGGCGCAGCGCGCGGGCCGCGCTTTGTCTGCAGTCCTTTCAGCCGGGCCACGACGGCTTTGGATGAAGATCCTCTTTCTTTTCTTTCCGTGCTCAGTGTACGTACAGTAGTGGCCATAAGGAGACGGGTCCAGATACTGCCCAAATTATCCGGCACTCAAGCTGTCTCCGAGTGTGTGATGCTGGGTCAGCCGGCGAGCGTCTCCAATTAAATGGAGCGCAGGCTGAGAGGCAGACAGGAAGGAGGACGACACATGCATGCATACGGGGCGGGAAGTAGGCTGGGGAAGGAACGCGCGCATACACGCGGACGCACTCCCAGAGAGACATGGGTACACACACACACACACACGCACGCATATGAATATTCACATCCTGCACATACATTGTCAGAGGCGCGTGCGTGTCGCTCTGACAGGCGCACCCAGCAGTGCTGCATTGATTTCCTGCAGTTCTTTGATGAGATGAGCTATTCCGATTCCCTCCCAAGGTGCTACTTTGCATAATTCATTTTTGGAGAGCAGCGAAAATGTAAAAACAGAAAGCCGGCATGCGGGGAGCGCGATACAAACAGAGCGGGTACCTCTGCGCATGGCAATGCTGACATCAATTAACATACGGATTCATTAGGTTTCCCTCAAAAGTCCCTCATATGACTTTCTAATGAGACCAAAACACTGGGTGAGGCGGGGAGGTGCCAGACCTGGAAGACAATCAGACGGCAAAGCAAATGTTTGACTTGCAGGCGGCGCGTTTAATCAACGGCTTGGAGGGAAATCATTTAGGCCGAGACACGTGGAAGCGACACTATGCCGACTGCACCGTCTACAAGCATCAAAGCGTCGTCCGCATCATCATCATCCGCCGCATCGGAACCATCTTCTCCAACATCTCCCAGACAAAAGAATGTGTGTTGGGGAAGAGGGTAGTCGTCTGGTCAAAGAATACACATTGTTTCCTTCATCTCTTGGGGCGTCCATCTTGACAGAAATCACTGATACGTAAGCTGTGTGTGTGTGTGTGTGTGTGTGTGTGCGTTCTATGTGGACCCCTAGCATTTGGGCTCGCTGTCTCCCCCGTTACCTCTTTCTCGTCCTCGTCTATGTGTTTGATCTTGGTGTAGTCCACGGGCAGGTCCCAGCAGTCGGCTGCGTCCCCCATGCCGTAGCAGCGGGAGCCCAGCAGGGCGGCTTGCCTCTGGGGGGACATGGGCTCCAGGGGGGTGAGCACCGAGTCGCCGCCGCTGCACAGACGCTTGCTCATACTCAGGTCCAGCGTCCCGTTCTCATCGACGTCCAGACCCGGGCTCTGCACGGTGGGATGGGGTTTGCGTGTGTGTGTGGATGTGTGTTGAGGTGGGTGTGTTTGTGTTAAATTGTTTTTCAGTGAGATGATTATGAGGAGGGGGGGGGAAGGATGGAAAGAACACACAAATGGAGAGAAGGGTATGAAAGAGAGAGAGAGAGAGGATCTGATTAAATAGCAACCAAACTCATATTCCAGCACCAGAGGCGAGTGAACACAACGCGAAGGAGGAAATGAAGAGTGCTCGAACGTCTCTGGTCCTCTGGAAATCTGAATCTGGGAAGTTGAAATACCCCGAAACGACATTCCAGCGGTGTTTTTTCCAGTTAAGGACTCGGCGGGACACCCACAAAAGAGGGTCAGGTCGTTGGTGCTGAAGGACGAGTGCAGGCATCTGTGACCACCTCTCTCTCTCTCTCTCTCTCTCTCCATCCCACTATGCAGTGGGAAGCGTGTGCGTGCTGTGACTGTGTGTGTGGGAGAGTCTAATGTGAGTGGACATCCACAGGGGGGCAGAGGCTGGGGGGTTAGGGCCGGGGTGTGGGTGAGGGTGGGGTCGAGACGAGTGATGAGCAGCGGTGGCTGGAACTAGACTGCTGCAGTCCCAAAAATAGCGCCGCAGCGACACCGTGTTCCCAAACTAAGTGGGCCACATCCAGCTCAGCGCCGCGGCCTCCTGAGCGCGCGCTTCTTTCTGTACATCCGTGCGCGCCTTTCCCTCCATCTCCATCTGGCACGTGCGGCGTGCAGCCGAGCCCCCGCTCCCCCAAGGCTTATGTTTTGGTAGGCGTGTGCGTGCGTTTGTGTCCTCGCTCTCATTAACGACCCCGTTCTCCTCTCGTCCTCGTCCTCCTTGCTTTCCTTCAGGAGAAGGAGAGCCCGGCCTAATGCTGATTCCAGCCGACAGCGTCCCGAGGGCTGGATCCTCCTGGTGTCTGAAGCCAGAACCTCCGTGACGCACATGGACTCAAACGCATGGAGGGGGGGTCTGGCACAAGGAATGAAAGGTGCAACAACTGGAGCTGAACCAAGGACTCAAAAAGAGTCGACAATAAAGGAAGAACTACTCTATTACCACTGGGCCATTAGTGAGAAAACTCACTATGAATAATAGAAGATATAAAGAAGCAAAACGATATCGTATGCCATTTTATTTAATTATTAGAATATATCACATGCATGTGTTACTTTAGTAAAACTGAAATGCGATTAAAAAAACACATTTTCATTCAAATTTTAATAATCTGAAATGTAATATAAATGCATTAGAAACAATTAACGCAGCAAACTCATTTTACACTCATGCTAGCAATATTTAATTTGCTAGTAACAGTTGACAAATTGTTCAGCGACTTACAATTTTTGGAAATCAAAGTGGTCAAAAGCCATTCTAATCTAGTTTAATTTGGCTGTGGAACATCAATGAGTGTGTACAAGTCATTGTACGAATCATTTTGAGCCTAATGGGCTTCCATACCAGGTCGTTGGATTCCGCCTCTATCAAACACGCTGGCCATTAAAACCCAACTAAGAGAACAACCGAAGCTTTGAGGAAAAAGAAAGAGGCAGAAGATGACTAATGAGTTTAGGACTATAAGAACAATAAAAACAGTCTTTCTACCATAAAGGTCAAGTGGCTGAAGAATGGATGTGATTACACCTGTGCCTCCTCTCTTCCTTTCAATATACCCCCCACCCCCCTTCCTATGGCATTTAACGAGGATGATGTGTGAAATTGCCCCCCACCTCCGTCCCACTGGCCCTCCAGTAACCTCCTGACCTCACTTCCGCCCAGCTATTCCAAGCAGCATCACATGGCTTTGTGTGTAGTTTAGGAGGCTGTGCTCAGGGAAATAACAGCGTCTCTCAGGCTGTACAAGGCTTCTGTTTGAGAACGGTATCACGCGTCGTAACCACCGGAACAGCACGTGGATTAGTGGAGCGATAACGTCCTAAAAGATGCAACACTCGGCTGTTTGTCTTTGTTTTCATGAAGCAATGTTGTGAGTAGGGGCAATTGGTATTTGTGTACTCAAACTAAATCGGAATGCTGTTAACGCACTCGTCAAAATGTAGTCATTTTCTCCTGGTGTTCTTCAACACTTTTTGGTGAAATAGAAATAATGGGAGTAACAAGCCAACCAGCTTTAAAGTGTTTTTTTCTTTTTAAATAAGCCCTGTGAGGTGGATCTAATTCATGCAGAGTACTTCATGTGGCTTTGGAGAAGTGACTCATAAATATTTGGTGTGGTGAGCAGCAGAATGAGTGTTTATTCAAATGAATCTCAGAGGTTTAGAGCAGAAATCGGCACTTTGGTTGAATAAATCCCACGAGCTGGAGAAAGAGTCGGATAGTCAGGCGCAGAGGAGTGTGTGTGTGTGTGTGTGTGTGTGTGGGGGAAGCTTCATTCAGACATGCAAAGGATCAGCGTGTGTCACGAGGTGAGGTGTTGGGACGAAAGAAGAAGGACACGCGGTGGAACGAGGTGTGGGACCAGAAGATGTTCTGACTGCTTCCCCTCCTCCTCTTCCTCCTCTTCCTCCGTACTATTCCATTTAGAAACCTCCCTTGGAGGAAAGGCTCCCGCCGCCTGGTCCTCGCCTTCCTCCTCCAATCACCTACACTCTCATTATCTCCGCTGTCAACACTAGCATTAGGCCCCGCGCTCTGCCCCCCCCCCCCCCCCCACTCCTCTCCACGGACCCCTTTTCCCAGCTCAGCGCCTGGGCACAGATAACGCGGGAACACCGCCACGTTATCGGCTCAGAAATGACACGCTGAGCTCACGCCGTGTCAAGCGGCGCCTCGTCCCACTCCTATCTGATCCCCAGACGGTGCCCCGCCGAGCCCCGAGTGTAAGACGCGGCCCCCGGAGGTTCGATGGAACGTGCACGTGACGCTTTGTCGGGTCTCCCTGCCGGCGTTAGTGTGACGCAGGTAATCTCAGTCTGCCAATCGCGTTCATTTAGAACATGTGACGTGATCACGAATGAACAAGTGATGCGGTGACGTAGCATATTGTATGCGTTACTGATAGGCCCCTCCTACCTGCGAGCACGGGTCCCGGGGCTTCCCCCCCATGCCGTGGGGCATCTCCCGGCAGCGCGTGGACAGGTTGAGGATGGCCGTGGCCGCCATGTGGGCCGCCTCCATGTCGTGGCTGTAGTCGAAGCTGCTCTTGCTGCAGGTGCTGCTGGCGCTGCTGCCCCCGCCCCCCCGGCCTCCTCCAGCACCCCCTCCTCCGCAGCTCAGGCTGCTGCTGCTGCTGCTGGGGGCGTAGGTGCTGGTGGTGCTGCTGGCCGAGCTGGAGGTCTTGCAGTAGCGCTTGGCTGCAGGGGGAGAGCGGATGAAGTCGGGGTCAGGTTAGGAGGTCGGGTCGGGCCAAACGCTGCCCACACTTTGGAAGAAATAAGTTGGCTTTCTCCGTCAAAGTTGCATCATTTGTATAATATTTGGTATTTTAATTGACACTAATCCAAATCTAAGCTAATATCCCACCTCCTAGGATTCCAAATCATATTATTTTTGACCCTTAAATGGATTTCCTTGATGCGGCCGGCCGAGCGACTCTTATTGTGTGCAGGAGGAATGAAGGAAGGGACATGAGAGCGCACCGTCGTATCCTTTGGGGGAGGTGTCCCTCTGGCCGTGGACCTTGGGTGCGATGGCCCGTTTGCCGTACGCCGGGTGGTTGCTGCTGCCGTCGAAGGCGCTGTAGTCGAAGCTGGTCTTGGAGTACTTCTCCAGCTCCTTGGCCAGGTTGGAGCGCGGCGTGCTGCTGGAAACATTGTTCTTGTAACCATACTGTGGACAGTCCAGTTGTTTGACCGAGCACATAAGGCCCGGCAATGAATGACGAGGGGGTGGAAGTTGGACCGAGGCCCTCAGTGGGAACTGGTTTGGTAAAAAAGGAAGAAGAATGGGGGGGAAGGGGCGCGGGCAGGATGAGAACCTGCAGGAGGACGCTGGGAGACGGTGCAGCGGAGGTGGCGCTTCTCTTTATACACCACAGCATGAATGTTTTCTTCCACTTGCTTTATAAATAAAAGCAGCTACAAGTGTTTTAAGTGTCTAGTCAATTTGAAAGGGTCAAGATTGAATTCCCACATTCCTTTTATCACACTTGCATACTTTTGATTTGCTTTTATCATCTCACAAGCATGTTTGTCTTCCATCTAAGAACAGGAAGAAGGGTGCTGTGGACGTTCAGTTTGATATAAAACGCAGAATTACTTGTGACTCTTCATGACTGTTTTCATGACTATCAAAGCCGCTCTCATTGAAAAAAACTCGCTGTGATAAATGAGGCCAATTTTGTTCAGATTTAATCAAACGATCTGCCTCTGACAGTCAGCATGGAAATAACATGCGGCCTCCTGGAAGTATTCTCACGGGACAGGAGAACATAAACATAAAAAAGCCGGGGGGGGGGGCTGTACGGGACATAAAGAATCTCAATGGCTTCAGAAAATTGAGGGCGGGAAACCGTCTAACGTGACTGATAGTTCTCAGCGCGGTGGGCATTACATCACATTACAGCGAGTGCCCTCCGGCAGCTCGGGGGAAACAGGCCCCGTTAGACTGTGCAATGACATCATCATCTCCCGTGTTCCGGCTGCCTCATCATACATGAGAGAGGAGAGGGAATACTACCTCAGGACCCGGTCGGAGGCCTGGCTGGTCTTGGGCACGTCGCAGCCCTGGTGCTTCTCCTGGGCTTTGGCCAGCTTCTCGGCCGCAGCGATGGGACATCCGGACAGGCTGAAATAAGGACGCCACATGAGCTGCACGTCTCCGTGTCACATTGAATGCACACGCTGTAAAACGCTCAGTTCTGCCTGTGGTTTGGAAAGTATTCTTATAATGTAGAAGGATTCATTTTCATTGTTTTTATACGGGCTGCAAACAATCCAAATATTTGCTTGGGAAGAAAAGTGAGCCAAATAAAAAAAAACATTCCAAATATTGAAATTGTATGAAAAGCCCAAAACAAATAAACAACGACGTAAATGTGCTGCCGGGAGTCACAATAAATGCATAAAAATCAACAACTGCAACAGCAAAGCGCCTCATATCCAGTCACACAGCAGAGGTTCTGCAGGCCTCTAGGGGAGCGCTGACATTTGGCCTCAGTCTTCTACCACAGCTATGCTAATCTGTCATTGTGAGACAAAATAAATATGAAACTCCACTCGCCTGCTGCGTATGGAGAAACTGACTGGGCAAGGAGTGTTTGCCTTGGTTTTGGTGCTGCCTGTGTGTGTTTGTGACTTTCTTTCTGCTGCACTTCCTTATTTTCATGGTACAGCAGGTTATACTTGGTGGTAGTTTCCACCCAATGGAAATGTTGCGCGTATGCCCTTGTCGGCCACCATATTTTCAACACTACCGCAACACCGCAAACGGCAACAGTCTGTGTGTTTCTGGTTAAATGTCTGGAAGTAATTCTCAGAATGGACATTCTCACACGGACGAATGTACACTCAAACATTCTCTGTCTGTAAGACGTCCTCCTGACAAGCAAAAGTTCACGCTGTTATCCGTAACCCCGGTTACTCTCCATCCAGCCTGTCATCGCCGCGTGTCGGGCCGCGGTGAAAAGAACGATCTTTGACAACGGCCTGAAGCCGGTGGAGGGTCGTGCTGGCGAACACCTGTCGTGGGACGCGTGCAGCAGCCAGAGCGTGCACGGTGTTCGTGGGAGTGTGCTGTCGCACATGGAGGTTTGTACGGGCTCTTCCTGGTGAAAGTTTGCCCGTGTCGTGAGTGCAGCACAGATGCATTGTGGTCCTCGCGGGCCTGCGCCTCCCCTGTCGCCCCGGCTGAGCTGCAGAGAGGTGCTAATGGCTGCTGCTGGGCCTCGACTCCCCGAGCATCTGCTGCGGGGCGACACTCCTCTCTCACCGTCTGACAGCACCGGCCTCGGCGGCCCCTGCTACTTCCCTTCCTCCCTCCGAAACCTGCGGCGGATGCATGCAGGCGTTTTCCGCCGCGCAGGGTGTGAATTGCTGCATTCTAATCACTCTCCGTTCTGCCGTGGGGATTGTTAAGCAGCTGAACTACTTTAATTATTCCCTCCCACCTGACATAAGAATCAAGACCTGTCCACGCAACAAAAGTAATGTGTTGCAGTCGGGGTTTAGTAGAACTAATCAGAAAATGATGTGGAAAACTGAGGATGGAAAAAAAAATAAAAAATCATGAACCCCCAAAAAAAGTCCCACGGTGAAAAAAAAGAAGGTGAACATGGACAGTGGCAAACGTGGGCGGGCCGTCACTTACCTTCGGTGGGAGTTTCTGTTGCTATTGACATGGCCGCGTCCCGTGCAGCCAGGCGTAGGACACTTAAGAACATTCTCATACATAGCCACGACTTGACGCAGACAGGAGACAGGAGTGAAAGACAGGGAAGGTTAGGAGCCCCTTACAATCACGCACCCGCTCTATTAGTGTGTGAGGAGCTTGGCATTATAAACATCATTAAGAAATGAGCCTGAGCGAACCCAAATGACCCCTTTTTCATTTTAATGAACACTAGTTTGAGAGGGCAGGCGAGGTTTCCCACCATATTGTTTCCACTTATCCGGCCTTTCAAATTAGTATTCATGGAATAGGGACGGTCATGAATAAAAAGATGTCATTTGAGTTTAACAGGACAGAGCCGGCACATGACAGAAATGGAGGCGCATTTTGGCCATGCAGAGAGCAGAGCGCCAATCGGGCAGCAATCATGCAAAACAGCAGTGTTGAAATCAATGGTGGATGCATGCAAGCAGCTCATTGATGGGGTGAGCTTCGTTATCAGCCGCACGTTGTTAGGGTAGATAGCGCCGTCTTCAATACCATTTACCATTAAAAACAGTCCATAACTGTCTCAGATAACCCCGGCAACCGGCCAATTAGATTAATCATCCATGGCTGTCCGAGAGGAGCCGCCGGAGCACCGCAGGCGGCGGGAAGGGTCGTTTCCAAATCAGCAGCGCGCGCGGTGCCGAAGCCCATCGGCCCCGGCTTCATCATTATCACCCCCTTAAACTTTAACCCCTCGTCCTCCTCCTCCTCCCCTCGCATGCTGATTGCCGTTCGGTGCAGGTAATTGGACAAAAAGCCTGCCACCTCGACGTGCCACGAGCCAACGCATTTGCATTTGCAGGTTCTGCCCTGACCTCCGCAGACACGCGTAGAGAGGTGAGAAGTGAAGGCAGCCGAAGGCCCGGCTCGGTCGAGGGAGCAGCGTGGCTCCAGCTGCCTCGCATGTTACAAATGTAATTTGCTTTAAAGAGAAAAATAGGATATTTCTGCACAGAAAGGAGCCACAATGAGCAAACCGGAATGGGAATTAATGAATCATTTAATCGTCAGTTTTCACATTTCCCAAGAAACGGTCTGGTTGCACTGTGTGATTTGCTAATTAAATGAAGCCATTGCATTAATAATACATGGTCCATTCAATAAAGCAAACGTGTTAGGGGGGAGAGAGACGCACGTTTCTCAATGTGACGGCCCACAGGTGGTCATTTCAATAAAATACGAGTTTGATTTTATATGGTGATTGTCTATCGTTATTGTTACTATTATTACTATCATTCATTGTTGTTATATAAACAGATTATGATTCCACCCATTCAAGTTGAAATGAGTTACTTTATTAATTACCACTTTTTAACATTGTGAGAACTCTGCTCATCTGTCTTCTTCGTCAGTTCTTGAAATGAAAAGCGCTGAATACTAGAGGTGTAACGCAGCTGATCTGGGAGCATTTAGACTTTAACCAGAGTTTCGCTGACTATTGTTGTCGATGGTAATCAACTGATCAGGAGATCAGCATTAATGCTAGTCAGTATCAGCAGGAAGCTAGTAAGGTTAGCAGCAGGAGCTAATCGCTAACGTACGGACAATTTCTTAGAATCACAACCGTTTCTTCTGCAAATATCCACTATAGATGACTGTAGCAAAGTACAAGGATAATATTTGTCATTTTTGATACGGTTATAGTTATCAGTGTCACCCATTAAAATTGTATTAGTTCCTTTTTCTTCAGCTGATCCGATCTGTGACTCCAGAACACCGCATCAAATTCAAATGTAATACTCTCAGGTTGCTTTTTGAAATCCACATGAAGCACTCTTCATGTCGGCATAAATGAAATGCACCAAACAGCACTTATTTAAGAAACGTAAATAGCTCACTTTTAAAGCTACTACCAAAATGTGGCGAGGGACACCGGGGCCGCTGCCAGGAGCTTTAAGGCAAACTAAATTATGACCCGTGTGGAAGCTCACTTGACTTTAATATTGGCTTGTACTTGCCACATATATTCATTCTGAATATGTTGGAGCCAATACCACTTGGTACAACAACCAATCAAATACCGCACTTGTGTCTTGTTTTTCAAGCAGCAGCAGCATTTGGTCCCCTTCCAAACATCACGGCTATAAGAGAGTTCTGTGTCTGAAGATACAAAGTTCTGAGAGAAATGTTTCATTTAATGACATTTTTACGTGTATATGTATATATGTACATGAGGAGCCTCTGTTTGATTTGACATGGAATCTGTGTGAGTCTGTATGAGACTATATAAACTCCTCCACCTGAGCAGGTGCCCTCCTAACAGCCACAGTGCGTCTGTGTGTTTCACTCAGAAGGGCTGAAGATGACAGATCCAGAGGAGGACTGGTGGTTTAATTTCCCCCAAACGTTCAGCCCCATCAACACACTAAGGGAACAGGAGACATCGCATGCAAAAATCTCCAGTGACAATCAATTCAAGCTCATTCCAAATTCCATTTAGGGGCCTTCTACATTTCTGGGAGAGAAGCAGAGCATACTGAGATGCCGCTGGACTTTACAAGCCGGCTTTAATGGCAACTAATTCCGCTGCCATTATTAAAAGCCTCTTTTGTTTTGATTGCGGCCTGGGTCCCAACCGATCATAACTTGATTTCACGCTGCAGTCAATGAAACGTGTAAATGGGCTTTTATTGAGAACTTTGCAGAAGGTGAACGAGACTAAATTGCCGGGGTGAGATCTTGAAAGGGAAAAACTCACTATTCAATCAAACGCTAATGTTTATTGCCACTTCACCTGATCCGTGGCTCGCAGATATGATACGTCTATTGAACAGAGCTTAATTAACCAAGGACTACAAACAAATGAATGGGGTGTACGGAGCGGGAGGCTGTGGAAGGCCCGCGCTATCAAGGTCTGTGAGCACTCTCCGGTTTGGGTTGGAAAAATAAAATGGCTCAATCACCGTTCCCACTTTATAGAAATGGATGGACCACAAACAACATTCAAGCCATGCTGCGAGGAAGCATGCGAGCGCCTACAAGCTGCACAATGATGACAGCAACAGTGGACGGGATCATCGCACGCTCTCAACCAGGGGGAGGAGCTTCACGCAGTCAGGTGAGTCTCAGACTGACAGTTCATGACCATCCGCCACTGGCCCATCACGAGGCCTCCTCTCTCGCTTCATCGTCACGGCACACTGGGCAGGCAATCCGCAGGCAAAACAACAGCCCCATGCAAAAAGGTCACAGGAGAAGTGACCCGTCTGACCCCTCGCTGTACCCCCCCGCCAAAATATCAACCGCATACCACACACAACGAGCCAGACACACAACGAGCCAGACACACAACAAGCCAGACACACAACAAGCCAGACACGCAACGAGCCAGACACGCAGCGGCGATCTCTGGAAACATGCCGACTTCCTGCACATCGGTAAGGGCGAACGAGTCCAACCGGTAGCTCAGGCCCGAGCGCTTACTTTCTGGTGGCACCCTGTCTTTGTGCGGACAGCCGGACAGGCTCCGGTGGTGGGGGTACAGGCCCGTCACGTGACCCGTGCCGTCGCAGCCCGGTGTCGGACAGCGGCTCTCCTTCTTGTCCGCGCGGGAGGCGTCTGTGGGCAGAGAGTCACATGGAGGGGTCACATGATGCAGCAGAGCTTTAAGAGGCAAAGTCAAGTCCAGCTGAGTGAAGGCCTTCGCGCAACGCTACGCCACAATGAACAGCGATTTATGACACTATTATTTATATTAGGGTGTAATTTTATTTATATTAGTTAAGGCAGTGTTCACTTTGGAGCTAATGAGAAAGTAAAATTGTCTCTGATGTAATTTTTAGACTGTTACATACAATATAACAGCGCTTTACATACTATTCATTAAAAAAAACTTTAATTAACTTAATATTCATTATTTAGTTTGAAGTTAATGTTTTCTTTCTTAGTCATAGGGCATTATTGATGTATAATCTTATTTGAATTGATGAGTGAAGACAAAGATAATAATTAGCTTGTCGACAATCATTTGATCATGATGTTTGTTCAGTGTGACAGAAATTATATTATAGATTTGGGAATTATTACAAAACTCTTAGTGAACTTCACCAAAAAGGGTTTCATCTTTCAGTTTGGCTCAAGGATGTGTTTTATTTCTCTTTATTAAAACCACACATTGCACCAAATGTTGTCGAGCTCACTGTGGCAACAAGGGTTCAAGAATCACACACACACACACACACACACACACACACACACACACACACACACACACACACACACACACACACACACACAATTGGATTGTCCTTCCCTTTGCTAAAATGGCTTCTCCTATTTCTCCCCAACCCAGATGAGATAAAGTTACCACCAAAAAGCAACTGGGCCAACCGGCGTTATTTGTGCAAACACGACCGTCCACCTCTGAAACATTTTGTCCATCAGTCAAGGTCGAGGCTCCTTCTTACAGTCGACATGCAGGGCATATATCTTACCACAGCCGAGCTACTGGAATATAGTGTTGTTTCAGATCAGCTCGTGTCCCTCGAATGGCTTACAGATGATTACTGGAGATTCTCAAGTATTAGCGGAGCGGACGCGGGAGCAGCCGGTGTCTCCCCCACAGACACGCAGACCACTGACTCAGGCTGTAACAGGCCCAAAATACACCACGGGTCGAGAGGGCAGAGCAACGAGAGGAATCGTCAAGCCATCGAGGTGGGAGGGTTGAGAAAAGCACTGAACTGGAAGGAGGTGCGGAGCCCACCTACTCGTATATTAACAAGTGAGTCACCAGGAAACACCATGTCTCATTCAGCAGGACAAAAGGGAGCTCATTACTCCTCCGTGGCTGTCACGTATGCATGCCGCGCATGACTTTGGTCCAACGCTGCTGTGTCACGTCTGGCTCGGTGCAATCAAAGCAGGGTTGTCTGGTGGTGATGAAGAACTTCATTACCGTTTCTTTTGGGGGGGCGACTGCAGATTACATCGGCTGTCAGGCTTCGAACGGTGTGACGGATATAATTCCCCCGTTTTCCACGTGTGCAGAAATGGGAGTGTTATTTATTTATTCACTACTCTGCGTGACGAGCGAGTGTCCGCTTCCATCGCAGACAGTGGGGGCGGCCGGGTGGGGGGCATATTAAAGAGCAGGGGATATTGATTGGGGCTTGGTACGGTCTGCGCTTTGCATAGCAAATGGGCCTCATTACCATAACGTCTCTGGATAATTAATGTGCAGTCGGTCGGCCTGCCATTGGTTGTTGGTCATTTCGAAACTGTTCAATTTTCATCTCGGCCCGGTGCTGCTGGCAGGGCTCTTCTTCCCCCTCCCGGTCCTCGCTCTGCTTCCACGTCTCCCAGGGAAAGATCGTTATCGTGACGCAACGGCCTTCCGCGTCCTTACAACATTACAACATGAGGCAGACACAGAGGCCACGGGCCGGCTTTTCAAATGAACATTTGTGTGACATTTAAGTCGCAATGTATACCTGCCGTGAGTTGTGTGCCATTTACAGCGTGAATTGGCATGCTCTTATTTGTTGGTCTCGTTTGATATCTTTCTTATTGGGGGGGAAAGGATTTAACCTGTCTATGTCTGAATAGCGTTGCAGTCTAGGACACGAGGAAAGGAATGATTAGGAGCTAAACTAGGGAGCTTGAAATCAGACTACTGTAAATGCCACTGAAATGTCTGTATGACTCTATGTGCACGATCACACATCCAGCACACTGTGGAAGACGGAGTATTTTAAGTATCAATCTGAACGGTGGCTCGTAGGAGACACAAAGAAGGACAAAAAGCTCCCCTGATCCCGACAGAGTGAATCCAGGAGGCCTCTGTTTTGGAGATTCCTCTCCCGAGGGCTTGTGCAGGTTTAAAAATAGGCAGCTTTACCCCGAGCTGCATCGCAGGGATGAGATTTGCGGTCCTAACAGGCCGTGCAGATTGCCATTACTTATGCCTGACAAGCCGACCCTCTGATGTTTCCATGCTGGCCTATTTTAACAACATAAGCTGCCGCTGCCGCTCCCGCTGCTACGGAGATGCGTATTTCCAAATTGGATGAAAAAAGCTTGTCCTGGGGTTATATTGGGGTTCCCACAACGCACATGTGCTGTCTAGTCGCCAGCGCAGGACAGATATGTGGAGACAAACATTTGACCTGAGCTGGTGTCGCTACGGTTTCTGCACTTCACACAAGCACTCACCTTTGTGGTAGAAAGGCTTCTTCATGCCATCTGGAAGCCGGGCTTTACGCTCGACGCCGTAGCCGTGGCGCGGGCCGTGGTCTTCGTGGTTATACCTCACCCCGTCTCTCCTGGCAGCCTCGGCCGCCATTTTATCCCGCATGGCCTTGGTGCGTTCTGACTCGAGTGCGATGGCTTTCTCCAACAGGGACAGGTTGCCCTTGGTCATGTCGAACACTTCTTCCGATCGGTCCGACGTCACGGAGGCCGTGTCCTCGTCGAAGTCCCGCAGGTTGGCGTGGTAGCGGTTGTCCTGCGCGCAGCTGGAGAAGGCCTTGGAGCGCGGGCTCAGCTGCTCCTCCAGCTTCATCAGATTGTCCAGGTCGGAATAGTTTCGCCGGTCGTCTTGGCTGTGGTGGAAATCCCCGTAGCTGTGGTGCTGCGCCTGCTGGTTGGGATCCCCGCATGAAAAATGGTTCTGCTGGGACGGCCCGTTCCGGTCGGTGGACTTGGTCTCGCTCAGCTTCCGGGCCAAGTCGAAGCACTGGTTTCGTAGGCACTCCAGACTGCTCAGACACACCTCCTCGTCGCTGTTTTCCATTTGTCCGTTGCTGTTGATCTTAACACCATTGCCGCCGTGTGCGTTTCCCCCGTTGTGGCCGCAGATGTTCTCGGCCGCGCCGTCCCCAAACTCCTGTCCGTCTAAAGTGTCGGACATCACGGCGCCGTGACCTTGAGCCAGAAGCTTCAGAGAGTCCACGGTCTCCCGAACCACATCGCTGTCCACGTCCAAAGTCAAATCCCCCCTTTGGGTGACCGTCCCCTCATCTTCTTCCTCCTCTTCCTCCCCGTCGTCCTCTTCCTCCTGGTCCTCTTCGTCCTCCTCGTCCTCCTCGTCCTCTTCGTCATCGTACTCCTCCTCGGCGCTGTTGGACGAGTTGCTGTTCATCTCCGATTCCGTCATGGCTCGGTTGGCGGCGTCTTCTGCGATCTTGCCCAGGTTGAGGAGGGACTTGGCCACTAGTTCGTCGTAGTTCTCGTACTCCTCGTTGTTGTTGCCGTCCTTCTCCGTCGCCGGGCCAGACTTGGCTCCGCCGCCGTGGCCGTGGCCCCTCTCGTTCCTGCCCCGCTGATCGTCCTCTGTTGGAAAGAAAGAACAAACGTCTTGTAATTTCATTTCCGTCATTCTATTTTACTGGTAAATCAGATTTCTGGGCTCGGTCCATCTAAATTGGATAAGGAACTCTTTGCTTCCCCTAATAATTTACTTTGAGAGTCTTAACAGCAGCTTGTGTTCTGAATTGTGAATCAGCACAGGAAGTTAAATATAGTCGGGGGAAGTTCCACGGAAAGATGCGCCGGTAAATAAATTGTGATCTTTGAAACCAGGGGCATCTTTTAGTCCTAAATTTGAACATATTTCCTGGATGTCTATAGAAAGAGATCTAATGATTAAAAATACTAATGCTGTGATGGACGGACGGATATTTTCTGCTTAAGATTTCTGTAAATAGTTTCAAATGAGAAACCATTTTGTTCCGCTGTGTCAATCAAAAAACGGAGAAAATCCTTTTTACCAGAGTCTTATATCTGAGATAATATTGTGTTCCATCTGCAACAGGATGAAGCTTTTTATCATTTGCTGTTTAAGTTCCTTTTTGTATTCAATCATGGGTATCTTTAGAATTCCTTTCACTGCCTAATTGATTCTGACAGGCTGCAAAAGGTTACTGAACCGCTTCTGTCAGTAATTTCAAGCACTTCCAATCTCTCCTTTCACATTTCCGCCCTTAGCCGCCATGAGCGCATAGCTCTCGCTCGCGCCACATTCGCCTCGTGTATTCCTTCAGAGGACCCCAGCGCACCCCCCCACCCTGCAAGTAAAACGCCGTTGTTTCTTAGAGATGAAATATGAATTAACAGCCAGCTCGCATGTGAATATGAAGAAGAAACTTGACTGTGTACATTAGAATGAAGTATGTATACACATATTATCCAACTGTGGACTTTGTACATAGACTAAACAAACACCAGCTGCCTTTCTCTCACTCACACACTCCAACCTAATGACAGCAGCACACTATTGGTGCTCGCGGGTCGAGAGCTTGAGAGCGGGAAGGGAGAAGAGTCACAAATGACCGGGCACATATTTTGACAGTGGACGGCTGCTAACATCAACCTCCGGCACCGGAGGTTTAATTTTTGACGATACGAAACACGGCACAGGAAAGCAATTTGAAGAGCAATCAAGGTACATAAGAGAGATGTGGAAGCGAGACCGATTGAGGAGGGGACAGAGAGGCCGCCCTGCCTTGGATTGGCTTTGGATTAGCTACGGGGATGCGCACGGCGCTGAGAAACACAGACGAGCTTCAGAATGTCACCTCTATTACATTTAGGAGATTGGAATCTGCCCGGGCGACCATGCGGTACTGTGGTCCCGGGGCAAATGGGGAAGATGGTAATGATGCGTACCCAGAGATCTTTCTGGCATTCTCAGGGAATATGCTGCAGATTACGATATAATCAATGCATATATGAATAAAGATATAGAACATATCGTCTTAATTGTAATATTTATTGGAACTCTAAAATAAGTTGGTATTTGAATATAAAATAATTTAACGACCGGGAGTATATAACTGTATTTGTGACTTATTTGGGAAAGACAGGAATGAATAGACAGAGTGCGTCCAAAAAAGGTTCAGCTCACAGCACTGCAGGTTTTCTGAGAGATTTTTTTTCTTGACCGTGTTTCTCTCAAAGTCACTGAGAATAGTAAAATATGTGTTGTTTAAATTATTGCTAACATTTGGATAGAAAAATCCTCCAAACCTCTGCTTACTCCTCACCCCAAAGGCCTGATGCAAACAACACGGGAATCATCTGCTACTAACGGACACGGAGGCTCTTGACAGGCTGAAGAGATCGAGAGTCTCCGTGTTACACTGAAGCCTCGGCCGTGAGCTCTAACCAACACCAGGCTGTGGAAAATCACATTCTGAGAAAAGAAATAAAGAAATACGAGCTCGGCTGCTGGGATGCAACATCAACACTTTGGGTGGGGTGGGGGGGGGGGGCACGCACCAACTAGGGTTCACACACTCCTCTCAGAGCTTCACTCTTAATTGAACTTGAAGGCACTGTCAGGTCCAATCTTGATGCGGGGGTGCGAAGCAGAGAAACCTGCCAAATGTGGTCTTGGGCATGTTGGGAGGGGCTCCAGAGAAGATCTGGTTGAGGGTTATGTGTCATGTATTCAGGGTAGGCACCATCAAAGACTTTGCTAGACAGTGACTCTCGTATTCTTAATGTTGAATATTCATCAAGGGACGTGTGAAGATTTGTTTGTTTTCAAAAGTGATTAATCTCTGTTGCTTACCTAAATAATCAGCTTTAACACCGATGGTCTTCTGGACAATGCTAAAGCATTTCAGTGGAAACAAATTGCTTAGTTGGATCCTGCTGTTTTTAAGCCATCAATTTAGATCATTTCTATGGAATTTATGCACTTATATATTTTTTTAAGAAACAGAAAATCAAGAATGAAACAAAAAATTGGTCACCTGTGCACCTCTCCTCCAGCTTCTATTAGACCACAGTAACAGGATGGTTACGTTCTTTAAAAATAGTAAGTATGTAAAACTATAAATGAATAGTAAATAATTAAAATAAATCACTGTAACAAGGTTTGTGACGTCGTACTCCAATGCAAAACACAATCAGTATCTGAACAGCAGGTCCACCTGCTCAAATATGGACTTATGGTCAAATGTGGACTTAATAAAAGACGGAGAGAAATGCTTTTAGGAATTGTTAGACATTCAGGAAAAGATTTACACTTGCTTTCTAGGGGAAAGAAGATTTACGGCCCCCCATAAAGCTCTTCTGGAGCTCTCTGGTTACCACGTTAGAACTCGATGTTAAAGCACACTGTGCAGGACTTAATGGCGTCCAGTGGTGACCCTGGAGACGGCTGGGTGTCCCTCGGGACCTGGCCTCGCCTACTGTAGGGGCACTGAGGTCAGACACCGGCTGCACGCTACGGCTCCAGTTACCAGGGTGGAGAAGTGTGGTTTGTCCGTTCCGGGCTACTGTAGAAACATGGCGGTGCAAGAAACTCTATGAAGAGGAACCCAAATCAAACCCAAATCAAACAGAAGATTGCTGAAGACTGAAGTTTTTGTGACAGTGAGAAAGATTTTTTCTGACCCACCAAGCGACATAAATCTAGTGTTGAACTATTGCTTTAATCCTTTTCTATTATTTGCGTATCAAACATCAGTCTGATGACTTTTGCTACGTAATAATGAGAAAGTGAGCTCACCTTGACTGTGCTCTGCCTCCTCGTCCTCGTCCTCTCCCTCCTCATAGTCCACCTCCTCTAACGCCTCCTCCTCTTCCTCCGCCTCGTCCAACCTCTCATCATCCCGGTCCTCCTCCTCTTCTTGCTCCACATCCACCTCCTCCTCTTCCTCCTCAATCCTCCTCCTCCTCCTCCTCCTCTGCTTCTCCACTACACCTTCTTCGTGCTCCATTTGCTCAATGTTGTAGTCCATGTAGCCTTCCACCTCCTCCACCTCCTCCTCCACTTCTCCGTCCTCTTCCTCCTCCTCTACTGCTCCTTCCTCCTCCTCTTCCTCCCGGTCGTCCATCTCCTCCGTGCCGTCGGTCTCGTAGCACTCCTCCATGGTGGAGTTGTCCATGTCATCTAGGTAGGTGCTCCTCTTGGGGGAGGTGTCCAGGGTTTGTCTCTCTAGGCTCTTTCTCTTTTTTGCCCGGGGGCAGCCGTACACACTGCAGAGGGGAGATAAGAGCGCAGCCGTTAGCCTCACCTGGCTACGAATGCTAATGCTCAGCTGCTATCAAGTGTTAATGTGCAGCAACTTACAAGCCAGAATGCACAAAGCACAAAGACGCAACGGCACAAGAGCCTTTTACTGCAAGGAGAGCAACACCCCTTAAGTTCATCTGCTGGGAGACATATGAAACTTTGCTTAACAAACCCTAATTAGACATGAACTCATTAACTCATCGGGCAATTATAATAAAATGCTCCATTTTGTCTAGAACCCAGTTACAAAGGGATAAGAAAAACAAATCCCTGAAGCAAACTAAGCAGATGATTTGGTTTATTTTCACATTAAATTATAAGTCCAATAAAACAAAACAGAAACCACTGTGCATGTCACACAAACACTGAGTTCTGTAGCGACATCCTCTGCCTCTGACGTGAGTGCAGCTGCCTGGAGTCGACTGTACGAGGGAGGAGACGACCTGTAGCTGGATTAATTGAATCTCGTCCGAGGCACCTCTGGTCTTTAATGTATTCTGTGCCCCCCCAGCAGCAGGGGGACGGATCCTAATCGGATAATCTGGTAATCTGTGTATTCGCTCAGGCTATTGATCACAGGGGCTTAATCCATTTCACTCATCAAACCTCCGAGAGCCCCCGAGCTGCCACCTGCCCCCCCCCCACCCCCCCGGCTGTAAGCTGCATGTGTGTGACTTTGGGGGCGCGTGTGGCTGAAGTGCATGCGTTTGGCTCCATTGGAACAAAGGCGCCCACACCGGCGGAATGATAAATGAGTTCTGCTGAGGGTTTTGGGCCCTCGAATCAACCTCTTGTCCAGGCCGCCGCGTCACAGAAGCTAAAGACGCTGCGGGCGTGTTCACCCCGCCTGTGAAATATCCCTGGCCCCTATATTGACCCACGTTGGATGTTTTCAGCGGCTGTAGTTCTCTACTTCGAGCGAGACCTGATGTGAGAGAATGCCACCGAGGCTGTGCGAGGGAAAATGTTGGTCGTTAGAGGTGCGCTGTGCTGGAAAAGAGGTGAGCTGCTGTTGCAGGCCGGATTGCTGCTAGGAGGCTTTTTCCCGTCAATGTGTCCCACAGTCCAATATCCGGTCCCATCCATCCCTCCCTCTCTCCTCAGTCCCTGACGGCCATCAGTCAGCCAGGGTACAGTCAGCTGGCAGGCTCAATCTCGCCAAGCCCAGGGATCCCTTAATGGTCTGACCCCATGCACCCCCCCCCCGCAACCAGGGGCCTCATTTCATTAATCCAAGCCCACGTGGAAACTCATTCCCTGCCTGACAGCCGGATCCCAACCCCAGGGCAGCATGAGGGGTCTGTGGGACAGTTGGGGAATGAGTGTGTGTGTGTGTGTGTGGAGTGGGGAGGGGGGGGGACACTACAGCACTGTGATCAATAGCGCTTGTGACCAAACATCTCAAAAGCACATTAAAATGCCACTCATCCTGGCCCCCTTGAGTTCCGGGGCCCTCTCCAAATAAATCAAGGGGGCCGGTCCCAGTAGGTCAGCAGCTGCCAAGGCAGGCGGGTTGGCAGCAGACGAGGATAGGAGGGTGTGGGGGGGTGGAGGCAGGGAGAAGCGGGGGCTCCCCGCCCCTGAATGTGCTTTAAAACCCGACTGTGCAAAAAGTTGCTCCTTCACTGGAAGTTACTGCAGTGAGCGTCCTGCTTGTAATGGGGCTCGTGCTAAGGGGGCTCAGGGGCTTTTGACACTGCAAGAGGTGCGTTTGCCCCTGAGATGACTCAGTCGCAGGAAGCCCCCCCCCCCCCCCCCCCGTCCCTCCTACAGCTGCGCCATCCCACCATCTCTGTCGCAGCGACCTTGACTGCACCGTTCGTCATCAACAGGCATCCCACTCACTGCGCTCGGCAATTAAAATTACAGCAATAATTAGGTGGCACTAAAAGAAAATACTCTTCTCTGGGCATTGAAAGAAAAGGGGGCGAGCACATACTGGAAATAGCGCTTGGACTGGTGCGGTTTCCCTCGGCTTTGTCCCCTGGCACAATCACAAAATCCCCGGGAGGAGAGTGCAGCGTGAGAGGTAGCAATCACAAAAGAAAAGAGCTTCGGATCACAAAAAGACCACTTCATATTTTATGGAGAGGGCATCCTCGCCATGATAAGATGGAACAAATTCTATTACCGTGTGAACAAGTGGCCCTTGAATGCATAAACCCCCCCCCCCTCCTTCTGGAAATGCTACAGTGAGGGCCCGTTTCCGGAGCGCTAATGCGAGGCGGGGAGTGGAGCAGCAGGAGGGGCACGGCTCCCGCTCGGCTCAATTTGGGGGCGACAGCTAAGCGGCTGCTGGAATGCGACAGCGTTCCACGGCACCTTTATTAGCAGTCGTATTAGCGGCTGTTCTCAGCGGGGGCCGAAGCTTTAGCCAGCCATTAGCATCACAAGCTATTTGTCTGCCTGACACGGGGGATGAGGCGGCTGATGCCTTTTTCCTCTTGGTGCTCGCTCTCCCCCCCCCCCCCTGCTCTCCGTCCGAAGCCTCGACACCCAACCTCCTCCATTGGGGGACACCGATTCCCTTCTAAACGCCCACCCCTTGCCCTCACCCCTCGTTCGCCCCTGTCTCTCCTCAACCTCCTTGTTGTCGCTCCTCAGCGCTCCAGCTGGAGATGGAGGGAGCGTGCCACCTCTGGCCGTGGCCCCCCCCTTATCCAGCGGATGGATCTATAGACATGTGTGGCAGTGCCCCGTCTCCATGGTGATACCCTCAAGAAATCCATGAGGGATTCCGCCATCCTCACAGCAAAGCCAGGGAGGAGGACATGAGAGAGAAGGAAGGACGAGGGGGGGAGGATGAGCGGTGGGGAGGCAAAGGCAGGCTGTGGTAAAGCCAGACAGGCGAGATGTATGTTTCCCTACAGTATATACATATATATACATACACACACATCTTATTTGTGCATGCAGAAATTGGGGTAAATATAGACGAGCTGTTGAAAAGAAAGAAGAGGGGTGTGTGTGTGTGTGTGTGTGTGTGTGTGTGTGTGTGTGTGTGGGAGAGGAGAGAGGATCATTTCAGAGCTGTCAGGCATCTCCCACTAGCAGGGGAGAACAAAAGAAGGAGTCTTGGTGCAGGAGGCTCAGCACATGGCAGACGCTGCAATTTGGGGCGTTTTCTGTCATCTCCGGCTCTCACTGGTATATCAGCTGCTGCGGCTCATTCACCCACACACACACACATGCACGGACACGCACCAGTTGGTGCAAGAACTCATCAGATATTACTTGTTGTAGAGCGGTAATAATCCTCATGGTCAGATGAACATGTATGACGGTTGTGTGCCAGCGATGGAATTACATGTGCCGAAGGATTAGAGTCTTAGTAACACAAGACGTTTCGGTGTAATCTTTTCACGTGCAGGTTGAATGTTTGAATGTCTCAGACGGCGGTTCTGGTGGCGCGGTAGCTAATGCGCAGCCTGCAGCCACTATGCTTTAGTCAGACGCCCCTGAGCCTCCCTCCACTAGTCTGAGACGCAGTCCAGCGACTAGCAGGCACTGTGGCCGACACGGATTTACCTGTAGTCAAACGATTTTGCAAGAAGATTGATTAGGAAATGATTAATAACGTTCACATGCTGCCCTCGTACAGTGGAAATAAATTCCAAATACACTGCAACAGTAGTACTCTCCCCAGTGCTAAATGAAGATTCTGCATCGCACATCACATCATTCTGATGCATATATATATATAAAAAAATAAATAAAAAAACTGTACTTCATGATGATGAAATATTTGTTATGTATTTGGAATGCACCCGAACCCTAATCCTCCCTGTCCGTAGCTGGGTAGTGGAGGTCCTGAGCTGGAAGGCTCATCCAGCAGCAGATTCTGGGGTGTAATGCGCCTATCTGTCATGCTCCAGCTGAATTCACTCCTGGATTAGCCAGGTAAGGAGTCTCTCCACCAGCGTAATGACTGCCATCAATCACCACACGCACACGCACACACACACACACACACACACACACAGGGGCCAACTAGTTAGCTGCTAGCCCATTTGGAGAAGGAATCCTTTCCTCCAGTTTGTTCTTTGCCTTCACCGGCCTCAGTGTGTGTCGTCATGATGGTTCAGCCAAATTCCAACCATAATCCCTCTCTTCATTTAGTTTTTTTGTTCGCTATTATTTGTTGAATATCTGTATATATATATATATTATATATTCGTTGAATATATCTATATCAATATATATTGTGGGGATTCTCACCAAATCTACGGTGACGTCTTTCAAACTGTTTGTTATGTGGATCAGCTGTTCAGTATTATGGAGAAGAAAAGGAATCAAAACTCCTCCAGACTTCTTTCTTAAACAAAAGTGTTCTATTCTATATTGTTGTTAAATCCCATTAATACACCATTAAGTACACGTGACTTAATGAGGGAAAGTTGGAGGTCAGACATGACACACATGGCTAAAGCCTGATGTCTTGTATTCCTCGGTGCCATGGAGAACCCATGTTAAGTCTACTGTTTTGTACATAACATTGTGTTTGTTGAATATGTCCATTCTGCACACTGTGATTGGTCGATCCCTTTATTTGCTGTGCAAAAGTTCAGAAAAAAATCAACCTTACTGCAGAAAGAAAATGAGCTTTTTTAACGCTAACTATTGCCGTTCTATGTGAAAGCTCTCTGACAGAAACCACAATAAAAAAAGAGCCCCGCGGTGCCTGAACGCCCTAAAGCGTGTTACGATGTGATTCTCACTCTGCGTCATGTTTAGCCGCCGCGGAGGAACGCCTTCTGACGTTGATGTAATCAAGTTGGCAGCCACTCCAAGGAGAGGGCAGGCCAAGGGGTGGGAGGGGGGTTCAGGGGTTAGAGGTCAGAATGTGTGCCCGGCCTGGAGCTGCCCCAAAGCAGCCCCCCCCCCCCGTGCGTACCCTTGGTTGGCACACTCGCTGCTCATGATCTGTTATTCTCTTTGATGTCTTCCTCTGGGAGGCGGTTAT